AGAACATATGTCGAAAATATTTGTACAAATTCATGTACATGCATAGCTTCGATTGTATTTAGTAGTAGTCGCTTTTGATCGTAATTAATAAACCAGTCGGATTTTTGACGAATTTTTGCTGGATTTTTGCCAGTTTGACGTCAAAAATGAGCCGGCTGGATTTCAACCAGACCGGATCGGATGGAAAAAATCCGTCCGGTTCCAACTCTGATACAGATAGTATTAGTTGTATAGAAGATATCGAACTACCGTATTTGCCATGAAAATGAAAATTCATCATCATTATTAACAAGAAGTGGAACAAAAATGTATTTCGTTATATGTGAGAATATAGAACAATATAATAGTTCAATTGAATTTTTACTACAATGATATTTAGCATATCATCAAATAGATTCTTTATAGTGTAAAAAAAAACCATCTAACAATTCTTTATGAACAATTAAAAAGATACATGATTTATTTTTTAATGCTTAAAGGTTTATGGAACAGGTAATAATAGTCAGCATGATTGACAAAAACTAACTTTGTTTTTTCTGTAAGATCTAGTGAACGGTAATTTCTGTTAATTTAGTTGAAGAATAAACTTGCACAATAAAAAGATTCTTAAAAAATGATTAATTAAGTTTTACTATGTCTATACTAAATATTTGTTTTTGAAATAAAATACAACTCCAGGAAATGTAAAAGGATAATGTATCAATAAAAAATGATGCTATATTTTCAATATTAGATAAAATGTTTCAATAGTTTGACTAGCAAAAATAAACAATACTTCACAAATTCTACTAATTGAAAACAAAAACATTTTTAATTAATAATAGTTCGCCTTATGTCTATCAAATGTATACGTTCCAAACATTGTTTAGCGTAGCATAATAAATTTTGTCGCAAACAATGATTTCATTACTACGAAAAACATGTGAATAATGAACAACAACGTGAAACTAAATATTGTTTCGTTCTAATCTTTCTTTTTTTTGTTCGTCTTATTATTCGTTTATCTTTCTTTTTGTTCTCTCTTCTTTCTTATTTTTCCATTCTTTTTTAATTTCGATTGTCTATGTCATAGTTAAAATGTTTTTTCTTAGGGTCGCCATGATTAATTTATGCGGAAAAACAGAAACATATTAGATATTACTTTATTTCTGTTTTTAAAATCCTTCTACTTTACGTATAAACATTTATATATAGATAATGGAAGTGAAATTGGAGTTTTATTGTTTTAACACTTCTACAAAACAATGTCTTTTTATGTATTTGAACTATTTTCTTAAACATTTCACCATATCTATCAACCAAAAATGCTTCAAATACTAAAAGCACATCTGTTAAATACATATATGAACTTAATAAAAATTAAAAACGAAATTTCGACTTTCTGTCTACTCGATCCATAGTATAAGTTTGAGAGTCGCGTATGATCTCTTATCTAGATCCGATCCAGCAATGAATGACATGTTGACATTTCAAAATATTTTTACTTTTTCAAACAATTAATTTATATAAAATCATAGGAGTGAAAACCGATTAGATCACTATGAAGTAATTTATTGTACTTGAGAACTGGTTATTGTCCTGTGAAAAAAGAATATATATCCACAATTATGACGTTTTACATTAATATTGTGTTTCATTTTAGTGTCATCAGCAACAAGCAATTGTATACGTAGTGAAAATAATCAGATTATAAAAGTGACTTTCTGAATCACTTAATTCGATTTCTTTTTCGTAGAATTTCAGATTCATTTTTTCTTGTTGTTGTTTATGAAAGAGAAATAGATAGTATACTTTTTTATATAAAATAAAAGTTTGAAAACCTTACTATGACCGTGAAAATATCTGCGGAATGTTGATTAGTTCCGATCCAATAGTGAGTAAAGCTATCCAGATGAACTTTCAAAAAGTTGTACACATGCAAGATACCATACGATAGTCTATTTGTTTCAAAACAAAACCATTCTTTCAAAGTATCATTAATTTTCACTGTCTATTAAATGCTTATCTTTATCTTCCATCTGAACTTTCAAATAATCTGTTTTAGTAGTTTTAAATTCATTCAACATGATGACCAATAATTAGAAAAACAATTGTTAATATGCATTCTAGTAGGATTTATTTATTTGTGTTATAGTATCTTATTTATGTAACGAATATATTTACAGATAGTTCTCCAAAAGTTATTAACTAATAATTTTTTTTGTTTAAGATGAACAACTAAAAATGAAAGTATAATCATCTGGCACGATCTCACATGCACACACGCGATACGACAATTAACTTGACAGAAAAAGAAAAGAACTGAAAAAACTTTGAATCCGAAGAAAAAGAAAAAAAAATAGTGAAGAACGATTTGCAAAAGGATCAACATGAAATTTAGACCAATTCCAATACTTTAACAACACCTTGACTATTTGCTGCTAATAAAATATTCTCACGCTAAATAAAAAACAAAATAGAATTATTTAATAATCAATAATACTAAAACAAGAAAATTTTCTTACATTACTCCAACACATCGCACTGACAAATTCTGATCCACCTTCATCTTTTTTCACACGATCCTAATTAAATAAAAAAACAATGTCTTAATTTAAATTATTTATCTTCTTACCGTTGTATTTGTCACCGTTTTAACTGTTCCATTATTTTGATCATCAAATTTATAACTAAGTAAAGGTCGAGAAATTTCACGTTGATACAAATGTACTGTATTTGTTTCACTACCTTTGAAAAGTAAAAATAAAAACAAAAACGATTATTTTATATTAAAAACAAAACAAAAAACATTTGCTAACTTACCACACACAATATAACCCGATGAAACTGCTAAACCAACAAAATTTTTTTCATTAACATGTCCACGATATGTTCTTAAACATTGTCCTTCAGTTACACGCCATAAACGAAGTTGACTATCTGTTGATGCTGAGACAATTTCATTATTTGATAAAAATCGTGCATATGATACAGCTTTTTTATGTCCTTTAAGTAAATTACAAGGTTCACGTGTATTACGTAAATCAAAATAATATAAATTATGATCAGCTGTGCCAAAGACAATATTATATTGAGAATCTGGTTTAAATTTAACACAACAAACATTTGATTTAGCATCAATTGTTGTAACAGAATAATCATTATGCATTGACCAAATTTTTACTAAAATTTAGTTTAATTATATTTGATAAAGACAAGAAAAAAACGAAAAATTTTAATTTACCTCGACAATCATCAGAACAAGATGCAAGTAATTTAGGATCCGATGAACAAAAATCAACACTCCATGAACGTTTTTCATGTTCCTAAAAGAATTTTTTTTTTTTTTTGTTTAATTGTAAATAAATGAAAAGAAACTTTTTTTTTTACTTGAAATGTTCGAACTTTTTGTGCTGTAGCCATATCCCAAATAGTAACAAATCCATCATAATCACTTGATGCCAAATAATTTCTTAAATATGGATTCCAACTAATGCAACTTAATTTAGCTGTACATGCAACTTCTTTTGTTGGATAATGTAATTCAACAGAATTATCCAATACAGATTGATATTCATATAACTTATAAAAAGAAATTTTTTATATTTACAAGTTTATTTATGTCTAAGATTTTTACTTTAATCTTTTTTGAAACACCAGCAACAGCAAAATGTTCGAACATTTCAAGTAAAAAAAAAAGTTTCTTTTCATTTATTTACAATTAAACAAAAAAAAAAAAAAATTATTTTAGGAACATGAAAAAGGTTCATGGAATGTTGATTTTTGTTCATNTTTCTTAAATATGGATTCCAACTAATGCAACTTAATTTAGCTGTACATGCAACTTCTTTTGTTGGATAATGTAATTCAACAGAATTATCCAATACAGATTGATATTCATATAACTTATAAAAAGAAATTTTTTATATTTACAAGTTTATTTATGTCTAAGATTTTTACTTTAATCTTTTTTGAAACACCAGCAACAGCAAAATGTTCATAATCACGATCAAATTCAATGCTAATGAATATTAAAAAAAAAATATATTCAACATATTAAAAGTACAAAAGAAAAAAAAAAAGTAATTTCTAAACCTTGAGACAATGCTAGCTTGAGCAAAATTTTCTCCAACAAAATTAACAGTAGCAATTGGTTTACAACGAGAATATTTTGTTACAGCTGCAAGACTATCACGAAATGTACCTAAACCACTATCGCCAGTCCATGATCCATCTATATAAACAAAAACAAAAAAAACTTAAGTAATGAATTTTTATCATTGAAAAAAAAAACAAAGAAGAATTTAACAAACCATTGTCAACAGTTAATCTCAAAGAATTTCTTGTTGAAAAATAAATATTTGTTAAATCATCCATAAAACGCATCATTATTTTTGTTCGATTTTCTATATCATCATATTGATTTGTTTCTTCAGGAACCTTAATTAATATAATTAGATTAAAATAAACTAAGAATTAAAACATACAATAGCACCAGTTGATACAATTCTTGAAGCAGCTGTTGTTGTTGTTGTTGATGAACTTGTTGTTGGTACTGCATCTTGTTTCTCTGTTTTCATATCAGGTGTTGCTCGAAGATCCTTTAAATTAAAAAAATAAAATAAAATTCTATAAATTTTATTTTCTTAATTTCATCTAACTTGTCCTCCTGATTGTATCCAATTCGGTACAGTATCATTAACAATAGTTATATCATTTGATGGTGATGATGATGATGATGATAAATCTTCTTTACTATTATTTGTTGATTTTGATGATATTAATAGATTATCATCTATAGTTTGTTTAACATTTGTATTTGTTGAAATATTTATATTCGACGATGATGATGAACATTTTTGTCGTTTATTCATTTGTGTTAAATCTTGATCAACAATATTTAATTCTTTTGATAATGATTCAATTGCCTATAATCAAAGAATTAATTAAAAGAAAAAAATTTTTTCTTTTTTTCATTTACTCCACTTCGTTCATGATGAACATGTGTTAAAAATATTTCAAGTAAACGATTATGAATATATTCATTATTCTATCAAGAAAGAAATATAAAAAACTTTAAAAAAAAGAATAAATAAAACATACTGAATCAAGTTTTTCTTTATGTTGACGAATAACAGATATCAATCGATCGAGATCTTGTGCATTTAATGTATGAATATTTGTTACCATATCAGAAATATGTTCAACAATACTCTAGAAGTAAAGAAATTTATTTCATAAGGTTTTATTTTAAAAATAAATTTACTCACGCCATATTTGGCAAATGTTTGAGGTAATGGACGTTGTTGACGATATTTTTCAATTATTGAATTTACTATTGATAAATAGAAATCAATTATGTTTAAATTTTTGAGAGAATTTTATTCATTTTAATGAATATTATATGAATCAAGACGAGTATTGAAAGTCAATTAACTTTCATTCATATGAACAGATTAGGTTATGAATGTTCTCTGGCGTCAATTGATAAATTTTATGAAACTAATTTATATTTTCAAAGAAAATAATAGTGAGTATGAGTTTAAATCGAGATTATTGCGATTCTACCACATCTCTAGTTTCCGGCAACCAGGGATGGAAGAAGGAAAGCCAAAGATCATTGAGTACGTTTTCCTAGAAGCGTAGGAATGAAGATCCACGGTAATTGAGTACATTTCTTTAGTAAACGAGATGAAGGAGAAGACCGACAATCATCGTGTACGTTTTGATAACAATGGAAAAAAAAACTGCGTCAGTAATAGCAGTGCTTAGATTATTCTACAACTTTCTAGAATCTTTCAAAGTACTCTATGAATTTAAGATTTCTACTCTAAATTCTAACTGATATAAATATTTCGGATTTCAGTATTGAATACAGCAAAAGGATTTAATTGAAGATATCAATCAGTACAGCACCGCTTCTAGTGATCGAGCAAAATCAGAATAGAACGTACATAGAAAAGTATGAGCTAATTCAATTCTAAGTTTAGGCAAAACTGAAGAGTATATGTCAAAAGTTCGCCGAGAAAAATGATAGTGTAATATGAACTTTACTGAACATTTAAATCAATTTGTATAATAAGCTATTAGGATTGTAGAACCAATAAAACGAAAAATAAAATAATATTTATCACTTCCTATAATATGTAAAGAAGTTTATATATTAAAGATGTATCTGACAATATAAATAAGGTTTTTTCCAAAACTCTGATAGTATCCCATAAGTTTATACCAGTTAAAGTTTATGAGTTCCGCACTTTGGTCCTTTATAGAGTTGCACCGGCGAGTTTTTTTTTAAATGACAAAAACTACGTAATAGACTTTTATTGATTGCACATTCTATGCAACATATTTCCTAATTAGTAACAAGTGACTAAACACTTAAGTTCATTATTCATTATAAAAGCTTGAAATTATCTTCAAACAAAACTACTTAACCCTAGATGTTGAGCAATTCTGCTACTGATCGTATAAAAGTCATACTAATACGATGCAGAAGGTTTAAAATTGATTTCTACTGATCATGAGCAACAGTTGTATGTATGATATTGTGGACAATATAATTCTTTGTTTCATTAATGTATCCATAAAATTACTCGACCTCCGACAATTAAAATTCATAAGTTCAAGTAAGCTGCTAAATATGGGATCGGTTCGTGTTTTTTTTTTGGAACCGAACCAATCCCATTTCCGTGAAGTGCTTAAAAGAACTGTATGAATTCTTCTCAATATTGAACTGTCGTAGGTCTAACAGTTTACTTAAGTCACTCTGATATAAACAATAACTTCTCAAAAATTCGATAATCAATCTTATATTATATATGAATTTTTAAAATAGAATATAATTGGTTTTCTTACATGTATAATTAGGAAAAATTTCGGATGGTTGAAGACTTAATTGACACTTTGGACATCGACGATGAGATTCAACGGTTCGTTGAAGACATTTACTACTACAATGTGAAAGAAAGATTTTAATAAATTCTATAATTTTTTATTTATATCTTACCAGAAACTATGTCCACATCGAGAAACATATGCTTCACTGATTAATTCAAAGCAGATCGGACTAATATATATATCAAACAAAGAAAAAGTTATAATATAGAATCAATGGTTTTTGTTTTAATTACCAATTGTATTCTTCTTCGATACTACTAACAAAGGTTGATGATGTTTCAATTTTTGATGATATTTTATCTGCTGTTGTTTGAGGTTGGACAGATGGAGTATCATCTGGTCGTGTTCGTTTAATACCAGACATGATTGAAAAATGATGAATTGACCTGTACTTAATAAGTACAATTTTATAAAATAAAAACGAATATTTTTGCTTACTTTTCTATAGTGTTATATATGTGAATGACAGAATATATATACAAATAAATGCGCTGTCTCTCTCTCTCTCTTTGTTTAAAGACTTTTATTTTCTATCTACAATACACGACGATACCCTAGACAGAGAAAATTATGATCTTACAAAAAAATAAACAATCGTATTAATACAATGATAATTGAAATGATTTATTATAATTTTAATAGTTTGTACTTATGATAATAAAATTCATATTTTCAATCATTTGATTACACAAGGAGAAAGCAATCAAGATTTTGATTGGTTCTTACAATGACTAATAATAAAGAAGAAACAAGGACGACGAGTAAAAATAATCAAAAAATAGCTGGTTAATTATAGACGTTTTGATTTACTTGAAAATATACACATTATTTTTGTTAATATTACAATATGTTACACTCTTAGATTAATTGTTCTGTTATGCTTATCCTACTTGAAAATGATTACTTTGCATTTGAACTAAGAATGATTATGTCGATAAGAAGAATACTTTTTATTCTTTCAATTTGCAGTTGAATAGATAATTACGTTTCACAGTCGAATTCTTAAAAAATATATTAAAACCTATGAAATAAGGTAGATGCTATTAAAAGTTGGTGAAAATTATCAAAGATCCATTGACTTAATAAGTTGTCAATTAAATATATATATTTATATAGTAGAATTCTGTTCTTAGATGATAAATAACTATTTACAACCGAGAGAATTTAAATTAAAAAAAAAATACTAGTTTAATCATGTAAAATATCATATCATTATCTATGTTTAGCATAGTATTTTCAATAGAAATCTAAAATAAAATGTTATCTTACACTCTACTTATATGCGTAATGTGAATTTTTACACTTTCTATACGTCAGTAAAATGTACAATCGAGTTTTTCAGAATAAAAAACAAGTAAAAAATTATCTTCGTATTTTTTTCTAAACGAGAAATATATATTAATATTTAGCAAACTAATAAGCTATGAATATGCATACTAATTTTATTAGCTGACACGTTTATAAGAAAATGAAAGAAAACAACCATCAAATATGGAATCATATTATGACCTACATCTGCTTCAAATGAGATCGTACGAGTTTTACCATTATCTATATGATTATACCCATATTTAAGCTATTCTCCGTTTTTCTTATTGTTAGTTATGCCTCATGCTTTTCCCTCTCCTATTATATATGTATGATGGACATTTGTATTTCTTTCTGATCTTCTTCCTTGAAACTTTTTTAGAGATCTTTTTTTCTTCTTCAGAATCTATAGGAATTTTTTACTGTACGATTTTCTCCGTTCTGTCATCGCCCTAGATTTAGTCGCTTCATTATTGGGAAGATTTTGGATGTATAGAGATATACACAGAAATAAACTACAAATGGGATTAACATCACAGAGATTGATTCTTGATTTTTAGAAACTGAACAGGTCTCATTTTTGATAAACATGAGTGTTTATGTAACGAACATCAATTATAGATACTGTTTAGATGGTAGTATTATTATCGGTTAAACATAACCTTAAATTTAATACTATATACAACTTTTAACAATCAGGAATTGATTTGTAGATTTCATCAGAACAATAAATATATCACATTTTGTTCTTCTAAGCAACATGTAAAAAGCATGATTTTTCAAAAGTCATAGATATTTCGTATATTTTAATTCTATTTGGTATCTCAACGATTGAAAACACTGGTCTGACAAATTGAGATCAATCCTCTCCTCATCCCCGATTGGTAGAGACATCTAGGATATGTTGAAAACTCGTGAAGGAAAAATATTCTTCAAAACAATATTTAACTATAAAAATAAAATTATTTGAATGATTTATCTTAAAAAATAGTGAGGATTTTAATGTGGAATTTGACTGAAAATTAGTCCAATCAAAATGAAATTAAGAGAGACCGATAAACAACATGAAATTGTCGTTTTCATTTTCTATACAGAAAAGAAATTTAAAGATAATAATTAAATTTTTTTAGATCTCGATTTTCTGATATGGCTCCGAAAAAAGATACTAAGGAGGCCTCCGCTTCAGCAAAAAAGAAAGACACTTCAGCTGCTACAACAACAACAGCAACTGCCAGTGCCAAAAAACCTACAAAACCAACCAGTAGTACATCAACGTCAGGCAAAGATGCTACTAAAGTTGTTACAAAAGATCGTAAGGAAAAGGTTCAAACAAAGGCACTCAAAGCTAAACAACGAGTTGTTCGGTAAATACTAAAAAAAGAATTTTTTTCCAAAAAATTTCATTCTTTGTTATTGATTCTAGTGGTAATCAATTAACACGTAAACGTAAAATTTATACAAAACCATTGTTTCGTCGTCCATTTACACTTCGTTTACAACGCCGACCTAAATATCCTCGACGATCAGTACCAAAACGAAATCGTCTTGATCATTTTGCTATTATTAAACATCCATTAACAACTGAATCGGCAATGAAAAAAATTGAAGATAATAATACCTTAGTATTTATTGTCAATATTCGTGCTAATAAACCATTAATCAAACAAGCCGTCAAAACAATGTATGATGTTGATGTTGAAAAAGTCAATACATTAATTCGACCTGATGGTGAAAAGAAAGCTTATGTTAGACTCAAGGCTGATCATGATGCACTTGATGTTGCTAATCGAATTGGTATTATATAAATATTAGTTTTTTTTATTTATACATATCAAATCGATACAAGAAAATAAAAAAAGAAGAGGTTTTTTTTCCGTTGATTATTTATGCTCAATGTTTTTTGAAATAACAAATAAAAACAAGATTATTGAGCATTATAAAAAAATACATGTATTTTTTAAACAACAAATATAAAATTTTATTTATGATCACTGAAATTGAAAGAAAAAGCCTGTTCGAGAACATATATGTTCTCAAAAAATCTATATTAAAAAACATTGTCAATTGAATATATTCTTGTATTATTATTATTATTATTATTTGCTAGATTCAGTCAGTCTTTTCTTTACTTTAACAATCCTTTAAGATCAAAATAAGAACAAGAAGAATCTATTTTTATTAGATAAAATTTCAGCAACATGTCTTTCGATCTATTAGTCAAATAGATATAATGCATGGCAACTATTTCAAAGTCTTTAATTCCTTCACAAATGATAGCATATACCTAATGTTATAAAATGCTTTATTAATACTAATGTTGGTCACAAAACTCACGAGAGCAAAGACTGGTGAATAAACATTGATATCAATTCAATAAAAATCATTATACACATTGAGATGCGAATGAAATAGAAAGTTTTCTGATCTATTATATGACAACTTTAGCGCATGTAGGAGTACAATATATTGAAAAAAAAACTTATCAAGGAGACTTACGTTAATTTAAAAATAAGTCATCTAGATTAGCCAATGATGTTTCAATCTTCTTCGATGTATTTTCTTAAATTATAAAATTACAAAAAGTGATTATTGCATAAAGAAAACGAACATACAAAACATTAGGTGTGCATTGAAAAAAATTTTTCGTATTATCTTTCGTGTCATTTTCTTTTCCTAATTTTATTAATAAATTGAACAGTAAGTAAGTATGACAACTAATCCCATGACAAATTTGAATATGCATGTTACAGTACTATTTCAAATTGTTTATGTGTGCAATTGTTTTAATATATTATATTCATATTAATGTCGGATTTTTTTAAAAGTATTAACGACCATTTTCTGAATAACTTTTGATTACTTTGAGTTATCGAGCTGCGGTTTTCACCATTCAAAAGAGCAAGCCGGGGGCTACAAAATCCTACTGATTTTGAATGGTCAAGCAATTGACCAACCAGGAGAACTTTTGCTGGACAGTTTGTGAGCTGCCTCGTGCTACTAATTTTCGTTCAATTTGAACTTTCAATGATATTAATCGATAGAGAAAATTGTTCTCTTTCGATCTACGCAAGGCCGAGCTCACGATGTCATTTTGTTCTGGAGTTATAAGCATTTTCCCAAGAGCTCCGAAATCAGCCAAATGATCTTCCATTAGGCTAAAATGGTTCTATATAGGGGTAACTTGCCACGCTGAGTCGAATGGTGATATTTGTTTTCCGTTTCATAGCTTTCTGAAGTTACCATATCAATATTCTCGAAATTTCAGCAATTTGCTGATGTATAGCGTGTAAAGAGGTTTTTTCGAGAATGTTGATATAGTAACTTCAGAAAGCTATGAAACGGAAAACAAATATCACCATTCGACTCAGCGTGGCAAGTTACCCCTATATAGAACCATTTTAGCCTAATGGAAGATCATTTGGCTGATTTCGGAGCTCTTGGGAAAATGCTTATAACTCCAGAACAAAATGACATCGTGAGCTCGGCCTTGCGTAGATCGAAAGAGAACAATTTTCTCTATCGATTAATATCATTGAAAGTTCAAATTGAACGAAAATTAGTAGCACGAGGCAGCTCACAAACTGTCCAGCAAAAGTTCTCCTGGTTGGTCAATTGCTTGACCATTCAAAATCAGTAGGATTTTGTAGCCCCCGGCTTGCTCTTTTGAATGGTGAAAACCGCAGCTCGATAACTCAAAGTAATCAAAAGTTATTCAGAAAATGGTCGTTAATACTTTTAAAAAAATCCGACATTAGTCTAACTTGCACCGTTAATACTAATTTTATACTCAAATGAACTATTTTTGTCAGCGTAGCCCCACATCAATATCACGAACAATTCAAAGAAGAATTAGAATATAGTCGTATTCTTCGTTTTCTTATGTTCATCTTGATAGAACTTGCAGTAATGATCACTTACATTTTTGGTACTTTACTTTGACAATGTACATCAGATATTGGTCCAATCACTCCGATTGCATTTCGCCGCTGGATAATTGAAGCATGTTATGCCTTGAAAATGTTGTGTATTTGCTCTATATGTATCTTTTTATGAACGATTCAAACAGTGTCCCTGTTTCATTTCACACTTAGTTGCCATGCATTATCAAATTATGCTTATTCTTGATTTTACATTATGCTGAATTGTACTTGTCTTCTCGACTGAACAACTTACAGGGGGGAATTTATTGTATTCTGCATGCAACATATCTACTTGGTATTATGTTCCTGATTTTTGAATTCTTTAAATTCTCTTTATATTAGTCATAAAGTTTCACACTATATTACAAGTTTATAGTATTTGCACATTTGGCGTCACTTACGAGTGAAGGTTCTCAGATGTTTTCCTGGAATTTCAAAGAAAATTATATGGGTCTGTTAAGTCAATTACTCTCACATCAAACCTGAAAAAAATTATACACTGAAACACCTTTAATAAAAAAATGTTGCAGTAAAAATAACAAGTATTTTCGGAGCTTGAAAATTATACAATTCTTTAGCATTTTAAAAGTACTACCGATTTGTATATTAAGATCTACATAAATCTAATAATGTGGATTTCTATCCGTCAACAAGACAATTGTCAGAACAAAATGTTTAGCTAACCTATCAGTGATCGCTAATAAAATGACAAATAGAAAACACTAAAAATATTTTCGATAGACTTGTCCTTAAACGAATCAATGCAGAATTCAATGCTCTATCCTATGAGACCATTCCAAAACGAAAATGGTATCGCTGTGCAAAGATTTTACCAAGGTATCTAACGCTTTCGACGATGGTATACCAAGGATATTATTTCGGATCGTTATTGTCGAATTAATTTGAAAGTTTTGTTCTACTTATTTTCTTGTCGACTGATATCGATTGGTTCATGTAAATCTTTATATATCAATTGATAGTACTTTCGAAACACTAATGAACTGTATATTTTTCAAACTCTGAAAATGCTTTCTTTTAAGAAATTCCTAGAAGACTAACTGGTTTCTTTCAGGATCCAGTCAAAAAAATATTCTAACTGCAACATCTTTTTATTATAATAGTGTCAGTCTCTAAATTTTTTCAGTTTTCAGATGAGAGTAACTGACTTGGCAAATCCTTATAGTGTCCTATGAAATTCTAGGGATATACCTGAAGATCTTTTCTCGTTAAAAATAAAGAAAATTCTTTTCCAAATCGCATAACAATGTATAGATGATTTTATTAAAACTGAAAAATTATCAGATGCATATCAACTACAATTATTTTAGTATGAAAATATAAAACATTATGGAGCTTGTTATATATTAAAAACGAGGCGTCGTAAAATGTCTGAAATTGTACTTTTTGCAATGAATCCTAGCAATCATTCTTTACGTGTCATTGGTTTTTCTTTTATTTCTTTCAAAAATCAAAAAAACTGCACTTTATAGGTGATAACAATAACAGTGAATAGAAAGAAAAGAAAAACAACAATCAGTGATTAAGAAAAACAATGCTACGTATAAATAAAAAAAAGAAAAAGGCAAAGAAATCCCCAAAATGACGAATGATAATGAACACTAATCAATCAACTTGTGAGTACGTTTAAGTTAAGTAACTTGGCATCTTGATACTAAAATAACCAAAAATTAATAAGATTTTTATTGTTTTCTATTAGATTTTAACTTACCGAATAAAAATTTTTGTAGCACAATATGCAACAAGAATAAAGACAAATGAACAAATAATCATTAATATACGATTAAGACGTGGCATATTTGGTTTATTTGTTTGATCGAGTAAAATAAATCCCAGACCACCTAATATAAACATAAATGAAGCAGCAAGACCTTCCATAATATATTGACCATTAATACGCCATGCCATAAAAGCAACTGGTTTATGATGACCATATTCATCAGTTGTACTACCTAAAAAAGAGATATTAACATTATTTTAAATGAAATTCTTTTGTTTTAAATTTTACTAACCAACACTTGGTGGTTCAACGATAATATCATAAATAACACCGGCAGTAACGAGAAAATAAGAAACAAGTAAACCAAATAAAACTCTAAAAGTTAAACAACAAAAGAGAATTAAACAGATAAAAATGAATTTATCTCACGTTGTATTTGAAGGTTTTCGAATCCATGATGGCTTTTTTAATTTTAAATTTGGACATTGAACAACAGTGAACGGAAGCCGATAAAAACTTTCCATCGTTTTGTTTCGCTTTTTATTATTATCAAATGAAGTAACTCTGTAGAAGAAATAAAAATTGTCTGTAACCCAAAAATTCGTTTCCCTTTCTTTATTACACCAATTGTAGATGATGACTTGGCAAGCTAAAAGCTTTAAGCTGATCAAATAACCAATCATATATGAAAAATAAATATCAGCATACTATAGCGACAACTATAGGAAACATTTTACAACAATATAAAATTGTTGAGCAATGAACTCTATTATCGTCAAGAAAATTAAAACAAAAGACAATCTACGAAATATGAAGATTTAGTCTACAGACAAATCGAGAAAAAACATTAAATCAATATCAAATGGCGAACACACTTATGCACTTAATGGCGCTAATTTTTGAAATACTCCGATCACTTTTTTAGAGGGACTACTTTATATCAAATTGTAGCTTGACAAAAGACAAATCATCTCATGAAGTCAGATTTTTCGGCCTATTTTTTTTTCTCGAGAAAATTACTGATTAAGTTGACTAATACTGAGTAATGAAACTCGACGACCAATAAGAATACGGTATAATGGTATTATTTTATATTTGTTTGGATTGATGAGATTATATCGAATATTTNTTTTTGGCAAGTTTTAGTTTTTGCGTGTTTTTTGTCGTATATGAATTCTTTCCAGTCGCCAATTTTTCGACTCTGCCCTGGTCACTCGGCAGAGGACGCGGACCTTGTTTACCCGGGCGTCGTCCGAGCCGGTATGGTTTCGTGTTGAAGTCGTTCATGGTTGGTTTCTGTCGTCTTGTTCTTTTTACAGACGGCGGTATCTGCACCCCTTCCGTCAAACGCTCCTCCTTTATCCGGACTTGCGACCGGCACAGAAGCCGCTGGATTGCGGTCTCTATGGTGGAGTTAATCAGCTTTAGCTAGAGAGCTGAAACTTTCCGAAATAAAAGATCTTGATTAAATATGTATGTAATAAAAATTTCAGCTCTCTATGCCTAGAAAAAGTATGAAAAATATCATTAATAATTTATCATCAGTTGTTATGGGATATCTTTTATATGTGCGAAGTGTTCGAAAAAAATTATATTCTTCTTCACACTTCATATCTCCAAAAAGGTTTTGATTGTTATTTCAGATTATTTTCGACAATGTTATATCTTACTAGACTATTAAAATTGAAAACAAAACTTCATTTCAGAACATTGGTACAGATTACCTTTATTCCAAAAAAATGGTAGAAATCCCACGGATTTACCCATATGCGCTTTTTGTGGTCACATACTACTAGAGAAAATATGAATAAGACACTATTATGTTTTTCTAGAATAATCTAATAGAATGGCATGCACTTCTTTTCATTATTACTAGAATTCAAAGTGGACCGAGCCTATGATACAATATAATTAGATTTATAAAAGTTGGTCTATTAAAATTTAGGATTTTTCTTGATTGGAATAAAATGGTTAAAGCGCGTGTTTGAAACATTGTAAATTTCGCCACATATTTGATAAATGAGCTCAAGATGGGCCAACGATAATTACTATTTTAAAAAACATGTTCAAGCAACTAAAAAATGAGAATGTTGGGCTAAAGATAATTTATTTGGGATCTCATAGCGCTGAATGTTACCGTGGCGCATTGATAATTCTTACTGTCCAACAACTTCATAAAAATATAGGAACTTTTGTTCGTTGTATACACTTCTCCAAACCACAATCAGGAAAAGGCGCATGTGACCGTAGTACTGCAGTAATTAAAAACGAAAACTGACAATACACAAGCGAAAATTATGATTATATAAACAGTAGAGAATTTGTTACTACTGATAAATCTACTCAATATATTGGCTTCTTTTTTAAAATTGAAAATGCGTCTACTAATCTCGAAACTACAAGTTACCTTTTACATGATATAAAAGTGTAAACATGGTGTGCATTTAATAATGAAGATAAACATATTATAAGAAGAACTTGAAGGCCAATACATGAACAACAGATAATATTCAACCATTACGAAATATATTTTCGGTTGATGGTTTAATTTTTCAATAAGAAGCTTTTCTAGTTCTTCTTTAATGAACTATTTGTTTTACTATCGCATAGGCTGTTGCGATTCAATGTGTCTGAAATGGACTCGATCCTATCGCAAAACAAAAATACAAATTCTATCAGGTAAATATGAATATCCGCCGAAAAGACTATCCATTATAGACTATACGGATAGTATTCACAAAAATAAACTTTAAAATACTAATTATCAATTTGTTGCATCTTTAAATAATGCTTCAACTATCTCTCATCAACCTCATCCGCAAAGGATTCTAATAGAAGTTCCTTTCATCAACAATTCATTGTCTGGCATTGAGCATACGATAGGATTTATTCAAGAACAGATTGATTACATGACTAACAAATATAATGAAGTAGAGATAAGTGATCAAAATTGAAAATTATCTACTGTAAAATCAATATTTCCATGTTACCTAAATAATTAGTTTTATTTTTTATTTCTAGGAGATGAAAACACTGAAGATAAATGAAAAACTGTAAATTCAGTCTCATCTTCAACTTACATAATCATAAATCAGAAACTACTTTTCTCTGTTGACTAGTAAAAGACAAAAGTATTTTACGAAACGTTCAATCTCAAATATTAATAAAGATTATTCAGAGAAAATAAAGCAAAAAATAATGAATATAAATTCCAAACGACAGGAGATAGCAGGTATGGATGTTTTATGGTGAATTCATCACTTGAATCGGAGCATTTCTTAGCTTTTGTAAAGTCATCATTGACTCTGAATATATGAAATTTGCTTATGAATTCATTATAAGCATAGTTGTTCGAAATATAATAGATGATGCTTCTTTTAGTTTTTTTCAATAGATATGACATTTATTGGTTAGTGAGAATGATGGAAAGCACGAAGATCAATTTGAATCTTTATAATAAACGATTAAATGATATATGACAGACATCTCGAACAAGAATGATGAGAGTGAAAAATTCTATGACTTTGTATAATTTATTTTTATTTATTACTATGATCATCCTCATAACTGTTGAATAAAAAAGTAGAAAAGACTAATATATTGAATTTATAGATTATTATTTATGATATTTCGTTTCATAATAAAAAAAAACAAGACTATAAATTTTTTCATATGCTTATGTAGACAGCAGTCTCATGGGCTCTTTCTTAATACGTACGTATAGAGTTTATACTGTAAATATCATTGCTAATACCTTGCAAGCTGTTCGATCAAGCTAACGAACGTGACCTTAATAGAATCATTTTCTGTCCTCTCTTTTTCGATAAACGAAATCCTCATTCAACAAGAGGCAGAATAAGGACCTACAAAGAAAGAAACTCCTACTTTATACTTGCATTCTTTCTCAAGTTCAAAGTGATGATGAGAAGTATGTGAATATTGAAAAGAATATTTAAACATTAAGTCAATCCTTAGTAAATTTTATACAGATCTTTCAATTTGCAAATATTGTCTCAATTCAAAATGATGAGTATTAATTATAGGGAGCGAACACATATAGATACGTAACTATGTCATCAAAATAATTGTCTTAGCGTTGACAATTAGTCGCGATACTTCAATACCGATAGCGTAAGAATCATTTACATAAAAGTTATTTGTATATCTTTTATTTTTGAAAGCAAGATAAAGCAAATTTTGATGATTTTAGTTTAAAACATATTTTCAATATTTCTATGGCAGAATATCTGATAGAAACTTCGGACTGAATATTTACTGATTGATTAGTTTCAACTAGTAAGAAAACAAATATGACCTTTTTGTTTTTCCAGTTTTAATATCATTCTTCAACAGATAAATTATGATCTTTTTCATTTCGATTGATCACAATAACAGATTTATTAGTAAGTATGATTTTATAACACGAATTATATTTTGTTTTTATTTAGATTAATGTGACGAAAAATAATGATAGACGGGAAGATAGTGTATATGGTGATATACTTTCTTCCATTTCTTTATATCATATTATCGTCATCTGACGATTAATGATAGAAGGATTGTTCGTGTTGATGGTATTACACTTCAGTTTATTCCTTCATATCATACAATCGCCTCGTTTACATATAAAGCACACGTTTATATACATGAGTAGAACAAGCGATGATAAAAAGATAGAATATGAGGCCAAGGAGAGAACAACGTAAGAATAAAGAGGTGGTCAAGCCAAGGAGAGAACGCATATAGAAGAAGAATAGAGTAAGAATATAACGTAAGAATAGATAGGTGAGAACAATACATATAATATACGAGTGAGTGACGATATAGAATGAGAAGAAGGTTGAATTATGCATAGATGATCGTAACCTTAACTCGATTATGAACACTACGTATCATTGACTGTATAGTAACACACTGAGAAAGAAAAGATATCACATAAGATAAGATACCTATTGGCATAATTAATATCAACTATAATTTCATCAGTAAATATAAATGAAAAAAAGGAATTATATTCTTATATTTAGGAAGAATGGGAAATAAAAATTGATTCCTCGTATTTATAGGAAGCTCATGATAACAAAACAATAAACAACGTCGCACACAAAAAATGACCATAGTCATAATTCTCATACTAGATTCCTAAGAAAATCTCTTAAATTCATAGGGTATCTGTGTCATGACTCCTCGTAGAGCTTTTAAGCGACTTCTTGGAGATTCTTTCATGAAAAATTGACTAGAGTTACTCATTCAATAGATTTTAAAAGAACTGTCGATTAATCGTGATATAATTTCACGATCAATCAGTCTTATAAACCGTTATAAAATTGTCGATTTTCGCGTAATTATTTCAATCACGCTCTAACATGAAAATAGCATCATGTAGGTGATTTTTCTATGAAATACGATTTTCATTATCAGTATCCGTAGGAAGTGTTCTTGAAATCTAAAAACATCTCCTTCGTGAATTCATAACTTTTGTATATCGCTGTTGATGAGTGCATTTAATCACTGACTATATTTGATTAAGGAAATAAAGAGAAATATCGTTGTAAAAAGTGAACGTCAATGAATAACTATAATATTATTTCATTCGAAGTCAATTTACTGTCGCACGTCGCTCAGTTTCCAATTCGTCGTCTGCTTTGTACCGAAAGATGGAATTTTTTGGAAAGTTGTTGCCAAACTTTTGAAGATAAACTTTTAGTTTCTATCTGCTAATCAAAATAAACATGATGCTTTATTTTCTCAACCTTCTTTTGCAGAACGAAAGTCCCTCTATTAATCATCACTGATAGACGTAAAAAAATCGAATATCTAAATAACTTCATAGTGTTCCTATTTTTGTTTCTTTGACTTTCATTTGCATTTTTTCAACAATACTTCACAACTGAAGGAATGTCGAATTTTTCTTCGTTGCTCATTGATTTATTATTTGTAGATGGCGTAATAGCACAGTGGCAAGTCGAACACTGCCATAATTTTTAGTGCTTAAGGTCAAATCTGTTCACAAGACAACGGGCACATTACTCATCCATCTCATTTTATAAAACGATGAATAAAACTTGAGTAATTTTTATCTGATATTCACGTCATTATTTCATCGAAGGAACACGTATTCGACTTTCTTTTATTGCGTCGTTTTCTTTCGTCCTACTCGTTTTTCATGGCATTGACGTCAAGTGATATGATGATGAGAAAAAAAAAACACGCTAAGAGAGAAAACGTAAGAAAGAAAATGATTGCGAGAATATAAAAAAAAGCGAGACGGTAACATAATTCAAAAATTTTTTTCTTTGCGACGAAGGATGCTCCAATGAGCATTCATATAATCAATATGAAAATGTTGAATTTGGTGAATATGCTTGTGTTTTCTAGAGATAAAATAAATTCATTTCAGCTGTAAACTTAATTGTCATGTCAACAAAGCATGAACATGTCATTGGTAGTAGTAGCCATGTGGAGGGTAATACATTACAGTCTATAATATCATTAGTTTTCGACATTGTATTTATTTGACTATTGCAGCAACACCGGTACAGGTCATAAGACCAGGTCATCAGATGAATCGTCAAAGTAAAAAGAAAAGAATATCTTCTCTGCTCGTTTTTCTTTTTATTCTTATTATTCACTGCTGCTGAGTTCTTCTTGTTCGTTTCCTAGCACTTTTATTAGCAACATTAAAAGAACTAAACTTCAACAATAATACCCCTACTTAAAACTCGCTTCTTGCTTTATGACTTGTTTTTTGGCAAGAAAACAAGAGATAAAATAATCAGATTGTATTTTTTTTTCTCTTACTCAGTAGGCGACATTCGCAATTCGGAAGAAGGTATCGGTGCCTGTGGATGGATTCTAGTGGTTCTTTCCTATATCATCTGCATACTGACATTTCCGTTTTCACTATGTGTCACAATCAAGGTAAGTTGACTTAAAGTAACCTAAGAAAGTTATTTTTTTCTTACGTTGTAATCAAAAAAAGCTTTCTTCTAGGTTGTACAAGAGTATGAGCGCGCAGTCATTATGCGTCTCGGCCGAATTATTTCCGGTAAGATCCAATCACAGAATAATTATGTTTGAATAATGTTTTTGAAATTGGACAGGTGGTGCAAAGGGTCCCGGTCTATTCTTTATTTTACCTTGCGTCGATACGATAATGAAAATCGATTTAAGAACTGGTTTGTACAATTGATATTTATCGAAATTTCTCGGAAACGTAAAAATTATTTTCATTGTTTGTTTTCTAGTTACCTTTGATGTACCACCTCAAGAAATTCTAACACGTGATTCTGTGGTCAACAATTCAAGATGAACGAAATACTTTTGTATATTTCTTTCTCTTTTTTTAGACTGTATCAGTTGATGCTGTAGTCTATTTTCGAATTTTCAATCCAGTTATTAGCGTGACTAATGTTGAAAATTCACGCGTCTCAACACAACTACTAGCTGCTACAACATTACGAAATATATTGTGAGCAATAAATTTATGAATTCATAAATAAATTCAAGTTTGTTGACGTATGTAGAGGTACGAAGACATTGCAAGAAATTTTGAGTGATCGGGAAAATATTTCACATTCGATGCAAGCACATCTTGATGAAGGAACGGATCCGTGGGGTGTTAAAGTTGAAAGAGTAGAAATGTAAGTATCTTAAATTTTTAGAATCTATGTTTAATCATTGATTTTAGTAAGGATGTCCGTCTTCCAGTGAGTATGCAGCGTAGTATGGCGGCTGAAGCCGAAGGTTAGTAGGATCCGAATGTTTGAATTTGAAACAATATCAAATCAATATTTTCTTTCTAGCTACACGCGAAGCTCGTGCAAAGATTATTTCTGCCGAAGGTGAACAGAAAGCTTCACGATCCCTCAAAGTAAGATTTTTGTTTGAATTCATATATATAAAATCCTTGTTTTGATCTTAAGGAAGCTGCCGATATTATCAATCAAAGTCCAATTGCTTTACAACTGCGCTATCTTCAAACGCTAACGACTATATCGGCTGAGAAGAATTCCACCATCGTATTTCCGATTCCAAGTTTGTATCACTGTATTTATATTCATATTTTTGAATCTATTTTGTTTCTTATTCTAGTCGAACTTCTTTCATTGGTGAAAAAGTAAGACGGCATCATTTTCAACGATTCTTTAACATACAACAACAATACAAAGAACAAATATTGCTTGCCTTTTATGCTTTTGAATTTTTCACATATTTTTGTCTTTATATTAACAATGAACATATTAGAGATGGCTATTCATACAAATTTTTACAATTATGCAAATATATCGAAACAAAAAAAGCGAAATGTTGAAATAACATCGTTTTTTTTTGAACTTCTAATATCGATTGTCGAGATATGAAATTTGATCCAATCATGTATATTTTATCATAAAGATTTGTGTGATTTCTAAAACGTGATTGAAAGAAGTAGATGACAATAATCTTTAGTTGCAATGAATTATCTTTGATCAATGTCTAAACAAGACTATCCGGTAGACAACGCATGTATCATTTTATCATGCATCCATATTAAAACAGTAATTTTGGTATTTAACACTAATCAATAGCATAGCTTGCAATTCTGTTAATAATTTTACGGATCCTATAGTTTTCTAAGATCTTCGTTGATAGTTTCGAAAGTTTATTTTATAGTGATCTTTAGATGAATTGTGATTTATTGAGAGGAATCCTGCCCAAATTAATTTATAGTTATGGTACTCTCGATTATATAAATTTTTAACAAAAATGTGTGCTTAAAACAGTTAGACTTCAAAGATCTTACAATGTCGTTTGAATTACACTTTTTATAGGCATGTAATAATTGTTTTTTTACTATCAGCATAATTTTTTATTTTTGTGTCTAAATGCTTGAACATGATAGATAACAAAAATGTATGATGGTTGTTTTTTTAATATGAAATTTGAGTTCAGAGATTTATTTGAAAAAATTATTAAAAGATATTGTGAGTAGACAATTGTTTTTCTAACGATATATTGATAATACAATGAATAGAAAAGATAAGAAACATAAAATCATGAGTGAATAATTGCTTATTGGAATCTTCAAAAAAAACAGTTCCTACAAAAAAAGGGACGTTCAAAGAAAAATTGAGTCTTAACCTTCCAGGGCGTATCAATGTTTAATGATGCACTTGAATAAAAGGGTTGTCAACAGTAATTAAAGATAAAAATGAAATTTGCATGCAATGTAAAAGAAAGGTTTAGAATAATAAACCTTCACTATCCGTTTATTATCATTACATAAATCCTTTTTTTATGTTTACGAGCGTAATTTACTCTTTCTGCTCATGAATCTTGACAAGGGTTGGTGACTAGTTGTGAATTCATATACTTTTATACTATCTTCTGTATTTATAAACCGTTTTTGGGTATAGGACCGAAATAAATCCTTAGATGAAGAATTTATCATTGCACGTTTTAAACACAACCATAGCATAATAAAACCTTCGCCTAAGGGTTTATGAATAGAAATGATAGATTACGCTCATTAAACTTAAAAAGGACTTATGTAATAATAATAAACAGATAGTGAGGATTTATTATTCTACACTTATTTTTTACAATGTGTAGATGCATACATTACACAGCCCTCTGTGTAAAAGATTCACAGTTGTAACAAAATAAGGATGAGAGTACTGACCCATTCGTCATTGTTTTGTGTTGCATAGCTATTTAAACATATTTGGTCTTGATTATTGACAAACTATGATATAAAACTAATTGACAATCTTTAAATGAAATTTTCTATCATTCTTATGCCGCTCATTTCATATACAAATATAAATTCTAAGCAAACAACTGATATAATTATTGATGTATAATATATTTGAATTCGATAATCATCTGCGCAACATTCAAATGGTATTTTGAAAAATAGAATATCTTCGCTAGAAATATTTTCATATGATATACTTTTTTTTCATGATATCGTCACTAAGGACATTCATTTTAGAAAACATTGAGAGTGTGAGTGCAGGAATAACATATCTACATTTCATTGTTCTAGTTCGAAAAAATTAAACTTATAGAGGATTATATTGTTATATGATCACATGTTAGAAAAACCTCTATTTTGTCATGTGATTTTCAAACAATCTGTCTACATACATATAAAAAACTGGCAATAATATTTAATTTTGCTTTTTTTTCTTCTCTCTTTTCATTCTGGTTGTTGTCAAGAAAGTGAGAATTTATTTTGTTAGTAGAACGAGAAAACAAGCAACAAAGTGTTTTTTTATCAGTACCTTTAACCGGTTATGAAAACGCAATCATTCTTTTTTCAGTGCATGACAACAATAACTTGACAGAACAAGCACATTTGAAATCCGTGAAAAAGGAAGAATTCTATATTTGGAACATATTCACTATGATCACTGTGCCTTAATTTTTGCATGCAGTGTTGTGTTTAAAACACATCAATCAATGTAAAGATGTGATTAAAGTGAGAATGAAATTACAAATAATTTATTTAAAAAAGAATATTGCTAATAAAAAAGAAATAATCAATTCATTTATTAGTGTTTCGAAAAAATTAATGAAATTTCGTCTCAATTAATCTTATGTTCTCATCATCTTAGCTGATTTGTTCATCTCGATTATCATTCATTTGTGAGAAAATACATTGAATAGTTAAATAATAATATTAAAGACAATGGTGAATTTCATCATGTGTTATAAATCCATTATTAGTTACATCGAATTCCTGAAATATTCTTTCAATTAAAAACGATTGATCAGCATGAAGATCGTAAACATTTGTTCCATCATCAGTACATGACGTTATTGTTTTTAAAAGTAATATGGGTTGTACACTTGCATCATAATTGTTCTTCTGATTTTTCTAATTAACATCTCATTCAGTGTATATCGAAAAAAGTTCTCTATCGTAAATTACATAAGGAGAAACGAAATCATCTACTTAGCACATGTTGAAATTATATGTATTTTTAAATTAATCAACTATAAACTTAGAATATATCAAACATAGTAATTTTGATAGGTAAAAACCCTATAGAGTAGAGTTCATCACGTTTTTATTCCGAAAAGTATTTGAGTTAGTAGCCATGCTTAATCACGCTCAATCCATTTATTGGAAAACATGTTAAACCATTTGTCAAATAATCTTTGATTAAAAAAAATTCATCATCTTGGTCATAACACTCCTTCTAGTGATTAAGAGTCCTTTGATTGATGAAGTTTATTAATTCGATCGGACACCTGAAGAACACGTAAACCTCCTACAGAATAATAGTTCATTCGGCTTCTAAGTTATTTCGCAAGTCAAAATTTTGCAGGTGGACTTTTATTGTGATCAATTTTTTTGTGTTGTATCCATGATTTGATTCTCTAAGAATTACAGAAGTGCACAAAATTCAGTAAATTGGAGTTTTCAAACTGTTTCAGAACTTTGATTGTAATCGACCAACAAAAAATTGACTTCTATACTTTTCTAGTTCCTTGTTATCAGATAACATGAGAAATGAGTTGATTACAGTATTTTTTTCATTCACACAATCATCTGTCATTAGCACGTCATGGATCGTAATAAACATACAATAAACTATGCTTATTACGATACTTTGATTTGAGAAACTATCGAGCTTTGAAGGAGTATAGAAAAACTTTCTTTAAGGCATATATCAATACGGCTTTGCTAGGTAGTATTATCTTAGAATCTTATGTACAGTTCAAAAATGCAAGATGATATATTTCAATTATCTTGAAAGAATTATTAAATAAATCTTTTACTTCCAAATGAAGATTTCTCATTTTTATGAAATAGGTAGTTCAGATCTTATGAGTGTTTCAATAATGACTATCGCAGTCATCTCATAGTGGCACTTGTTTTTAGGTCCAGAAACTTCTGACGCAATTTCAACTGACCATCGTTCAACTTTGTGAAGTGTTTCAATTTTTATTTAAAGATTTTTGTTCCTGGTTCTATCAACTTACTAAAAATAAAAATTTACATTATTTCATTTCCTGAGTATGCGTAATGTCATAACAGAAATAAACACAACATAATGGCATTAAAAGATGTCTATTTTATATTTGCCAGTTTTTGAATAGCTATCTCTCATTAGTGTTTATTCGTACATCTTTTTTGATTCACGAAAGATATTTCTTTGTTGTTTAATAAAAAAAAACTTGCGGAACGAACGAAATTAGATACATCAAAGAAGTTACAACTAAACAATGAAGATCAATGAACTACAGTAACTTATTGAATGATATACATTGCTATTTTATGGTCATGTGGACATTGTGGCCCTTTATTACATCTGGAAGATTACAAGTTTGAGACTAGGCTTTTATTCTGTGAGGGGGACGATGATGGAAACATTTAGTACTTTATCTGTAAAATAAGATGAGTATAATATCATTATGGATACGCTCTGATGTAGAATAGTAAAAGCATCTTTATGAATACATAGTTGGATGCTGTCATAATAATTTTCGATGTCTTCTGGGCTTGAGATGATCTTTGTCTTCTCATTCTATTAATTAATAGTTTTAAGGAATTATTGATATAAGATTGATGATTAGAAGCTTCCCTTCTTTTCATATTTGCCAGTTTTCTCAAAGAGTATTCGACTAGTTAGTTTTAGAATAGACATAAAACATTGTTTTGAGATTAAATTACGACGCAAAATTCTAGTTGATGAAGACTATTCTATTGTAGTTCTTGTAGTACGAAGAATCTGAATCGATTTATATGTGATGCATCAAAAATTTGTCACCTATTATCATTACCTGTATTTCTTTAGTCAACCATGTACGACAAAACTTGATCGATTGAAATAGTTGCTAATCGCTATATTGAATATTGTAACTGAGATGTACAATTTTTTTAATCAACGATTATTTGCAACATACATTCAATAAATATTTTAAAACAAAATTGATTCTGTGTAATTAAACATACCTACTAGCTCAAATACTTACTGGAACAAAAACTTGATGACGAATATTTTCTTGATGACTTTTATCTGTCAAAATCACTGCTTCTAGTATATACCCTAAACATTTCTATCATATAAATAGTAATATATAGTAAAAATTTATTATTAATAAAACCTAATTAGTAATAAAGAAGTAAATAATAATGAATAATAAGTTATTAATGGAATAAATTAATTGTAAAACAATAAATACAACATGAGAATTGCTGTGAATGCGCATTTTGAATCTTGATTTCATCTATACATACGATGAAAAAGGAAAAAAAGAAAGAGATATCAACATAGAAAATTATGGTGATGCATACGGCGTTCCTTAATAAGTTCATAGGAGTTTACTGATAAACCTTAGGAATTCAGTGGAGTCGAAAAGATTCTATGGAGTTCAAGAGGATTCGATAGAATTTGCGAGTAATTCTAGAAACTTAAGAGATTCTTTGACTTTAAAATTCCGCTATTCATCCATTGGTATTTCTTCTATGAATAATGTACCAATATTGAAATCAATCTATATTCGAAAAATGAAATCTAACGTTGTTATAATACCTTAGTGTGGAAACGAAAATCGAATCGATGTTTAAAAGTATTTCTACACTCTTGTTTATGTATTACTTTATTAGTTTTATTATTTCGAAAAATAATTACTAATCATTAATGATGAGTAATAACAATATTAGTTATTGCTTATTATCAGTAATGGAATTATAGCACCCATCTCAAGGGAGAAACAACTGACTTTATGACTTAAATGATCTAAATGATCTACGTGATCTAAATGACTTTAAGTCATAAAAGTCAGTTGTTTCCCTCTTGGATTCTGCTCGTGTTAATTGTGGCTGTGGAGTTTTCGTTAGGCTAATGAAACACAGAAATAATTTTCCATGGTCTGGCTGTTATCGACATTCATAAACACGAAGATTCTCAGTGCTTAAAATCGAAATTGCAACGCAATCTGGTCCATTATTATACGCGTGATATTTTGCAACTCAAAAAATCGTCGTCATGACAATCGATGAGTGTGAAAAATAACCAGACATTATTGTTTTTCTGATTCTAATTCGTTCATTCACTCTAAATGCGTGTCATCCTCACAGAATCGTGTATATTCAAAGAAACTCTGTGAAAAACGCGTATACTCTACAGAAACTGAGTGGTATGAATATAATTGGCATATAAGGAACTAAATGCAAGTACTGGATGCTGTTCGGTCCTACATTTTAGCTAGAGGGAAACTCAGTGAGACTAAGAAAGCCCCAATAAGATTCGCGACCGTAATCTATACACCAAGAGTTATGATTGTTTTACTGGGATTCTGGGGTATTCGTTGAAATATTGAATTGCAAAAATTGACGTCTGAGATTCTTATCTAAGATACGTTTCATAGACTTGATAATACTCTGAAAGTTTTAGCCAACAACAATATTGCTTCATCAAGATAATGAGTATTCATGTAAACTCGGTTTGCGTGCAAGGTCGTGGACAAATAATTAGGTTTTGAAGATCTAACATCATAACAAAAGAGCATTGAAGTTGCAGTTAATACTTTCAGGAAGCTATATGAACTACCAGACTTGTGTAAAAACAAAATTGCAGACGTAAAATTCACAACTCAACATTCCCGATGAATNTTTTAAAACAAAATAATCGAACCAAAAAATAAAATTTATTTAGAAAAATTTAAACATACGGTAAATGAACAAAATTTTGTAGATAAGATATAAGTGAACGTCTCTATTATGATTATTTAATGTTGCACTACTACCACCATGACTTATAGATGATAATGTATTTGTTGGACTAACTTGTTTTAAACCTGATATTATTTGTAAACCTTCACCTTTATCTAAATGTGATATATGTGTAAAATCTTTTGCTTCTCATATACGGTGCAATTGATGATTTCATTGTACCACCAACACGAAATCTTCCACCACGTGCAGCTAAACTTTTTGATGATGCACGTTCAGGAACATTAAGTGATGGATTTGAATTATGTTTTTTGTATTAAATAAAGTCATTTTGGATGATGATTAAGAAGTTCAGGATCATTAGATAAACAAATACAACCATCTGTTGTTAATGAACGTGTACGAGATAATGGTAATGATTGTAACCATGTAGCTGATTATACATCAGCTATATATCAACTGATTTTTCAGTATAAATAAGTAAATATGGATGATTAAAAGCTGTTGATATTGCTAATGCTATCTACATTAATTCTCTATGACGTGTTCGCATTCCTGTTGAAGAACTTACATATATTCCTAATTGACGAAATACCAGTAAAAGTTCGTTGTTTGATGATGAATCTAAAAGATCAAAGAAAAAAGATCGATTAGGATTCGAAATTAGTTGGATGGTTTAAATGCTCGTCGGATGCAAGAATTCCAGATCTGAAGGCAGATCGGCTCTACTAGAGATTGTCTTATGGTATTTCCCTTCAAATTCTATTTCGATGATGTTTATTGAATAACTTACTTGTAACAGGTACAACACACAATGGTTCAATAGGTCTATCTCGAAAAGATTCTAATGTTGGATCTTCATCTCTTAATAATGATACACTTGGACATTGTTGATCAAGTCTTTGCGCAACAAATGCTGATGGATAACCAACCATACCATAAAATTTATTGTTCAATTTGATTTATATTATTTGTTGAAATTTCTAAATAAGTTACATTTTGTATTATATTAAATTCTTTTATAAATGAATAATTATACGGTTTTGATGTTGAATTAATAATTGATAAACAAGTATACGATTTTTAATAGCAACACACAGGACGTACGATTCGCGGGGGGAAGCGGGTGGACTTCCCCCGCAAAATTTTTTCTTGGTGTTTAGCTTTCTCTAGAAATTTTTCGAACAAGTAGCGTTTTTTCATATTTTGATAGGTGAAATGAGCTTTGTGTTATGTTCGAAGTGTTCCCCTTCGAACATAAGACGGAACGAAACGAATGACGAGTACTCCTTTCTAGTACAGTGGTTAATATGTCTGCCCGGAAAGCAGGAGATACATGGTTCGATTCCATGTGAAGGGGGATTATTCTTTTCTTCCGTTCTGTGGTCATACCATCACGTTGTTGTTTCGGTGATAAGAACAAACGAGCATAACACTTTGTACAAGCAAATCAGTTGTTTTCTGTACTGCAAGACAATTTCTCTTAATATTTCTACGAAAAATACCTGTTGTTTCATTGAGAGGCTAACACACAGCTGACGAAAATAAATTGATTTCAAAGAGAAAATAATCCATTTTCTCTTTGTAACTGATTCATTTTCCCTTTGAAACGGACCTATTTTCTCTTTGAAAACGAATTATTTTCTCTTTGTAACTAGTCTATTCTCTCTTTGCCACTGAACAATTTCTCCCTGTTACTAAACTATTTTGTCTTTATCGCTCAGCTATTTTCTCTTTGTAACTAACTTATTTTTTCTTTGAAATTAACTCATTTCCTCTTTAAAGAACTTTAAAGAGAAAATGAATTAGTTTCAAAGGAAATATAGGTCGGTTTCACAGGAAAAGACTATTCCTAAGTATTCAGAATGACTCGACTTTGGGTGTGGGTGTGCGGGTGTGTGGGTATCATTGGGGGACGCATCCGCACCGGCACCCGCCCCGCCCCGCTCCCGCACCCAGACCCACACTCACACCAACAACCACACCCACACCCACACCCACACCCAAACCCACACCCACACCCCTCGCACCCACACCCACCCACACCCTAAGGGTTAGAGCGCTGAATTTTCTCTATATGCGTACAACTAAAAGCCGAACATTCCTAGAAAATTTCGTGAAATTCCCACGTACTATGACGAAAATCGATTTTGGAGGAACGGGGGCGGCCTTAAGTTTAAAAAATGGTCTTCGCACGATTAATTAATTTTACAACAACATCAATGAATTCTCGGGATCATTGAATTATCATGTCGTCAGTTTTCTATATTAAAATAGTACAAAAAATATTATTCAACTCTTTTAAATTCAGGTTTCAAATGTTAGAGATTTGCTGTTGAATGAGTCAAGCTGGATAAAAGACGTTGGGCGGTTTGTACCTAAAATGATTCTAAATNGATCGTTGTCTTCTTTCTTGCAAGAAAAACTAATGCAATGTCATTTATACTTCTTATTTAGATTGATAAGCTTCTTCTGATCGTATGTGATTCATGTCAATATATCTGAAGACTTTCCAGTACTTTTCGCTTCCGGCAAAGTGAGTATATTTGGACCCAGACATTCAGGATTGTTTGTAAAAGATCAAATAACATCTTATTCGATACAACTCATTGCCATCCATCTATTCCACTGTCAGTCAAGGAATTTAGTATTGCGCTTTCCACTATTGGCTGCTAATGCAATAGTTTCAATCTTGCTTTTATGCTCTTCATTGCAGTAAGCTGAGCCAGTGGATCGTAAGGTTCTAGTCGATGGAATTTTTCGAGTGAAGAAGTATAAATGACATTGCGTTAGTTTTTCTTGCAAGAAAGAAGACAACGATCGAGTGATCATATATATTTCGATATCTAGAAATCCTTTTTTTTTCAATATATGTTTATCTGACCGATAGAGCGGCATGAATCTGATGCTATTATATAGAGCTCATTGAGCTGCACAAAACTCAGTTAATTTTGAATGGACTGCAGTTTCTTTAGAGAATTAAACTGGCGTTTTCGTAAAACATATATCTAGAAAATGATGTGTTTTTTTATGTCTCTCATAAATTTTTCTATGAAAGTTGTATAAGTCTGCTACACATGTGATGCTCGATAAAAATACCATCATAGATAACTTAGACACAGCTTAATGTTTCTCTGTTTTATTTCAGAGAAGCACTACTTAGTAATACATTTTATGTGATCGAAAAGCAAAAATAAATAAATAAATTGAAAATAAGAAGTTCTAAGATCTTTCGATTAAATTCACATAGAGTTAAAATGTTTGAATAGTTAATCGTAGATTTAAACTTCAACTACTTTATTCGGCGAATTAGATCCATCTTGATGAACTAATGAACGAAGATCAGCTGATTGGATATCTTGTACTTGTTTATTTATTTCATCAACATTATTAAGTATTCGAGTATCATGTATCGGAATGAGATCTTCTACAAATGGTTTTATATCATTGTCCATTTCATCACGTGTACTAATATCTGTCATCGACGTGTTGTCTTCTTCAACAATCGTTTCTCTCGGCATTATTCGATTTCGACCTCGAATGCCCGGTTGTTTTCGAAGTTTATAGTCAATGAAATGATAATCGATTCCTGTTGACATTGGTGAAATTGAAATATCACGTACAGCACGAAATTGACCACAGTTATTCAAATGTTCATTTTCTAGTCGAAAAAAATTCCAAATAAATCTCCGAAATATTTCCACGATACCAAAACAAAACCCAATCAAATCAGCATATTCAGCTGAACGATTATCAAAATAGATGAATATATTGATTGTCCAAGCGAATCGAAATAATATATTTTCCACAATAGCAGCATAATAATACGTTTTTGATGAATAAACAAGTTGTTCACGTAAATATTTATTCTTACCAGCTTTTTTATCAAAAAAGCCCCAATCCATTTTGAGATCCCATGTAAGTTTATATGAAGAGCCAATGATCGCGGCAAGAATCCATAAATAAAGAAATGGATTTGATGTTTTTTTGTCAGCATACGTTGCGGTGGTTGCACGTCGTAGTGAATTAGTAATTACAACAAAGAAGCCAGTAGCATATTTACCTGCATTGGTTAAATGTGGAAATGCATGTTTTGTATCACGATATCGTCGTACACATTGTGCAAAACGAAACCAGGACGGTAACATCAGAAGGACAGTTTGTAAGAGAAATTCAGACCAACCTGTGCAAAATATTCCCTGATATGATACTGGGGATGTCAAATCTGTTGACCACCATGGACGATTCGAACCATAGAAACAGAAGAATGATTCTAAATCGTAAAAGACTAATTCAAGTGATGTAAGTTGATCGCCAAGCCAAAAATCAGTAAAACCAACAGGATGAAAAGGAGATGAGAAAACTCGAGCCAATTTTCTTAAGAACCAGTAACGTGCTTCATGATAAAATATTGGTATTGGATTAATAACAAAGAGAATCAATAGTGCAACAAATATAAGTGGTTGTATGAAAGGATAACGGTCAAAATACGACGCGAGAATGAATCCGATAAAACTGAGAAACCAAAGAACCAATAAAGATGTGCCGATCTCAAGAATACGTTGATAAGTTAAATGATGACGTGGGTCGATTTCGAATATGAGTACATGATTAACACCTGATGATGACCAACCATAAACATTGATGCCGGCAAAAATAATTTGAATAATAATTAAACATGTAGAACGATAGAGTAAAAGTGCTGGACGCCATGCGAATGGTTTGTTCAATTGACTTGTATTCAATTGCGTAGCGAATGCAAATAAAGCCGGTAACAGCAAACAAAGCATTCCTAAAGATTAACTAACTTATTTATTCGCTGAACAAGAAATAATTGACCTTACCAACAAACAGTCCACAACGAAATGCCACCATTGGTGAGTTTTTTTCATCTAGTGGTGGAACTCGAAGATGTTTCATTGCTTCTGCTCGATTGCCAGATTCGAGGGTATCCGTAAACATGGTCTCTATATCTCGGATAAGTTCATTGACTTTGGTTGATATGTGAAATGGTGCCAAGTCAACATGAGCTTTTCTGTAACAAAATAAATATATTCTGATCGAAATCTGTTTCACATAAGATTGATTAAGCCGAAAACTAATGCGAACAGCATTGTGACTTTCTCATGGATTCATTTGAAACGGCTCTCAAGAGTTAAAGTACACTCTTTTCAAGTTGTTCACATTGTTGCTATAGTCTTAGCGAGCGAGCGTTTTCAACTGCACAACCGCTTTTGAATTTGAACTCTGTGGATAAGGTAGACTTCAATGAGATATAAAAAACCTCAAAAGAATATATTAATTAGACCTTCTGCCCAGAGTTATAGGCATTGTACCAAAAATTGTAGGCTTGAGCATGGTATATACCAATAAATTGATTAGCGATTTTTTTATCTCAAATTTTTCTTTCCGAGATAGCAAAGTTCCAAAAATCATTCAAAATTCGATGGAAGATGCTAGAATTTTCTGTTGCTTGGGACTTTAATGTCTCGAGAAGAAAATATTCTTTTGAGCTGAAATTTTTAGAATATTTTATCGACACATAGACCTGTCTATGGAAAAAATTTCAGGTCGAAATCCTGACATTCGATTTATTGGTATATACCATACCAGATGCTAAAATTCTGGCAAGATGCCTATAGCTCTGAACGATAGACCTACCAAGACTCATCCGTTGGAGAATTTTCATATTTCACTAGAGTCTACCGTATGCACTGAGATCAAATTGAAAAGTGATTGATAACTGAAAACGTTCCCTTATTAGATCAAGTCTCGTTCCTGAAGATAGTTTGTTTCATACAATTTTCTTCAAAAGTTTCCTTCAATTAGCTTTGTGAACAAGCTATGAGACAAAGTATCGTCAATATTCGATATAACTTTCAGAATGTATTTTCGATTTCATAGACAGTGAGTGTAATCAGAAATAAAAGTTGTTAGGAAGACGCAGTTAATAATTGAAATCGAAATACCTCTGAATTTAGCCGAACTAATATATACCCCTGGCAAAAATAAGTTTTCCTCTGTATTTTGAGGATATTGTTACCAAAAGAACATATTTTTTAAAAAGTAACGACATATTCGGGAAGCCCGTGAAATTTTACATCTTTCTATATTTTTATATTTTTGTTCGGACGGCTGTATAAAAAAATTCTTCCAATGAAGTGAACACACCTTTAGTACCCCATTTCGATATACCTAATACAATCATTGACATCTCGCATAGTTTTTCAAATTTTTTTCGATATTAAAAATAAGCTTTAAAAAAAGTAATCACATNATGGTCTGGTCAAAAATCACAATTTTTTCGATAACTCAGCCATTTCTTGGCGGATCCTTCTCATCTTCGAACTCGACCGAGATATTGTCAAGACTAAGCTGTGTAGAAAATTTCATCGCAATCTGACTCTCCTTTCGAAAGTTATCGTGTAAACGGCCGGACGGACGGCCGGACGGACGGCCGGACGGCCGGACGGACACACAGACCGATTTTAGTAGTGTACTCACTTTTTGAGTACACAAAAAACAATAATTTGAAATTCATATAGATATTTATTTTTGTCTTTTAAGCACAAAAAAAATGAATTCACAAGTCTTATATCTCAGATCGTAAATTGGTGAATAATGTAAAAGATGCTTCAATGCTACACCCTAATGCCAATTTATATCATTAAAACTGATGCAATATTTTCTAGCAGAAGAAAATCATGATATTGAGTTCTGGAAATATAGAGATGTATTCATAGTCAAATAGGCTTTAGTGTTTTGAGCACTGACATCGGTTTTGTATTTGTCATTCTTCCTAAGTTCTTCAATGGGTTTGTGTGTTCACGATGTTTAGAGCCATCCTTATTGTAGAATGCTTTGAATTTCCAATTCTTGATGTTCGGTACTGCTGTTTACTTTTCATCAAATAATTTCCATAACTTTAATTAATCGTTTACCATACAGTACTCCTAATCAGATGATTACAGAAAATCTCTAGAGTGTTGTATCGATATAAGTACAAAAATCAATATGTATTCAATTATTTGTATTAAATACAATTGCAGCAACTGATGGTTAAATTAATTCAAAGTAGAACAAATGAATATGCTGTAAAGGGTGTGGGTGTGGGTGTGGGTGTGGGTGTGGGTGTGGGTGTGGGGTGTGGGTACGAATGTCGATCACTTCTTCACCCACACCCTCCTACATTCTTTGCTTTTTATGTTTTTTTTTCTTCGCTCTCCTTCTTGAATAAATGGATGTTCCAATGATTTGAAAATAACGAAACGGAAAATGTAGCAGAAGCTAAATATCGAATCGAATGAAAATATATGAGAGGAAAACATACAAAGAAAATTTCGCAAAGGAAAATATGGAATAGAAAAGATGTCAGCAAATTATGTAACTTTACGTTTTAAACTACTATTGGCAATTATTAAAATTATTTTAAATCATCTTCCTCGCTTTCTATAGTATCTATAATCTAGGATGAGCCATTAATTCAAGATGAAAATGTTCAGTTAGAATATCTAATAATTCATGTTTTTCTTGGTGCTTTATCTTCAACATCATATTGTCATATTATACATGATCGAATAAATTTCTTATTGTTAATAATAATAGGAAATTTTCATTTTCTGTGTTTTCTAGCAAACCAATTAGTTTAACTACTTTCTTTTTGTTTTTCAATACTATTCTTTTTCAAGAAAACTGATTAGAAATTGTCAAATATTATGCACAATAAAATTCAATCACATATAATCTTATGTCTCTTTTTATCTCCCTATTGACAATGCTGAAATGCATCAGTATTCAATTTGTCTCTATAAAAATCTATCCAAAAAAACATTTAGAATTCTTCTCTTTTCAAATGAATATTAGATCGATATTTGCTTATTAAAAAAGGAGTTTGAAAAATTTGAACATAATACACTAATGATTGCAGAGAGAAAAGAAAATAAGATCATATGAATATTGAGATGTATTATAAAAATATCTTTCATTTTATATGTCATCAAACTCATGAACGATTTTATTTAATTCATATAAACTCTTTTTCTCTTTATGTTTGATTTCATCTCAAACAAGTAGTTGTCAGCAGTTAATGATTGTCTATTCATTGTAAGTAGTTTCTAGCCACTATGTCTCTATCTTTATAGATATAGTCGTTCTCCAGGCATGTATCTAGAGAATACATAATAATGAAATAAAAATCAAGTTTTTATATCTATTTTATTGATTCTTCAGATGGAGACTCAAGTCCACAGATCATAATAGTGACTTGTTTTCCCGGTTCCGAAACAGCAGACAAGTTTGAAATATTATTTTATTTGACAATGAGAATGAACACTATAGCGAGAAAATAAGAATCACATGTTTCGAACAATTGTAACAAAGTCAATATCTTTCCATTAACTATTGATTTATTTTTAGAATAAGTAAAAGTAGTTCTGTTTTGAAAAATGATCATACATTGCAATGACATAGTCTAAGATATTTTTCTCTTGCATGTTCGCCACTGTATTTGACGAACAATTGCTTGTCGAATATAGCGGAGAAAGCAAGAGAAAAGAGAAAAATATTTTAGCTACACCGCTAATACATTGCCTTATGAGTCAGAATGGTCAATTCTTCGTTCTCATCTCGCTATATTATCCATGATAACGAACACATTGAACAAAAGATTCTTGTTCATTGCTCAAGGTCAATATAAACAACAATGAAAATATTTTTCGGTGATGCACATTGTTGAACACAGTTATAAAAGATACAATCATTTTTGTTTTCTTCCTCATTCGATGGCATTAATTACACAATTCGACGATTTACCGGATCTATTCTTTATTGATCTATTTAATTATTTATCTTCAATCGATATTCTTTGGGCATTTATCAATTTAAATAATCGTATTCAAACAATAATCAATGAACGAGGTTTCTTTCGTCACATCAATTTATCATCATCACGTCTGTCAAAATTCGATACACTTCTTCCTATACTTCCATTGAATCAAATTGAAACACTCATCATTGACATAGAAGCATCGCCTCTTCAACTTTCTCGCTGGCCTTATTTGCCTCATTTGACTACATTACGATTATATGGTTTACGTGATTTTATAGATGCTACCAATTTTATCCTTCGTCACTCAACTTCACTCATACATCTCACATTGGAAACAAACGATTTATTTATGTCGGTATGTATTACTCAAGAATATTTTCAAACTAATATTCAAATGACAAAAAAAAAATCATTGAAAATATTTTATGTAGTATTTTCTTATTTCCATACTATCATATATCTGACATCAAGATATTTTTTTACATTAATCAGAATAAAGAACTGAATAATTACAGTCGGATATCATAGATATGGAATAGAAAATAGTGTTCAATCGTATCTTCATCTCTATTTTTCTATATTTTAAGTTATTAATAGTATATATTAGCAATGTTCAATCACATTATGAATCGTCAATGAGTTACTTCTATAGATGAAAACATGAATTGACAAAAAAATGCCATTTGATGAATTCTCTCCAATATTCTCATGCAAAAATTTTTTTTTCTTGACTAATGAATTCGATTAATTATTTTTATTTTTTTAGATGGGCTTTACGGGTTATATTTCGCACCCTAGAGGACGTCTTTCAACACTTATGAAAAATGTTTTGCCACATTTGAGTGCACTTCGTTCGCTCGATTTGGGTCAAGATATTGGACTCGGCCTCACGAACTGGTACATTACTACAATACAAAGCCCTCTCAATTATCTTCGTGTATCGATGAACGACATACCGCATTTATGTCATGTTATATCAAGAGAGACACTTTCAACTACGTTAGAACAATTGCATGTAACAATGCGTAATGCACATGTGGGAAGGGAAAATAGTTTACCTAATGGATTGGTACTGTCTAAAATGATCAATTTGCATACATTCACTTTGGTTCAATCGATATTTTCCTATGATAGAATTGAATGGTCAACTATTGAATCACTCACAGCTCCAAATGTAATGCCCGTACTTCGACGAATGAATTTGGCTATTTTCATTACTGTCGGTCATTTAAATTGTATCAATAGATCGTCACTTTTCATTGATGATCGTCGAATAGATGTTCAATTCGCTTTCATTATAGATGATACTTCTCTAGGTATTCAACTAAGTCATCATGTACTACATGGTAGTCGTGTTTATCCACGACAAATAGTTGGTGTAACCTGTGTTCTAAGTTGCTTATCCCGAAAGTACCAAGAATTGACAAACATCAATTGCTATGTGAGTAATTGTATTATTACACAATTTTTATTTGACAACATCCTGATGAGAAATTAAGAAATGATCAAAATTTAAATTTTCGATTTTTTTTCCAAGCTATTTGATGCAATAATCTTTCTTTATTCTAGTTCAATAGTTATCCATCGACTTACGATGTTTGGTATACTTTACCATGGGCATTTGAACAATTCTTCGAGGTGGTTGAACCAATTCAATATATAACTAAAGTAGAAGTATTTGCTCTACCTTCATCGTACTCATCCATTATTAGTTTATCTCGACTTCGTACACTTAGTATATCACAAAATGACTCATTACCATCGATTATTTCAATGCCTCATGTTGTGCAATTAGATCATATTAACACAGTTCATTTATCATTTCATGATTGGCCAACTGGTTTAAATCTTCTTGCTCTTCGTCATGTTACATTAACAAATAATCTCATTGCATTGAAAAACTTCTCTTCATTTCCACCTAATATTCGTTCTATTCAAATTCTACTTCATGCTAATAAGCCGAATTTCGACTCAAGCAATTGATCTATATTGCGTTCACTTTCAGTCTTACCGATGCGCACCTCATTACATATCATTATGAATGACATGAATACAGGTCTTGATGATATTAGTTGTCAGATTATTGCAGAAACAGTACCAATATCCGTTCATTTTGGTATTTGTTTTCGAAGAAGTGGTGGAATGCCGAAACCTGATTCTATTGACCATTGTATCGAGTTTGATCCTGCTCTCGTCAATCTTACTAATGATCCTATTATTGACGATGAAGATGATGAAGATTTTGAAGATTTGACATTCTCGGAATCGATATTTGATATTTACCGGGCATCTATCAAAGAACTACATACTCGTATTTTACGTTTATCATCTCATATGAAACCTCTAATTGTTGTTGAAGAAGAAGGTTGTGGACTAACTGTTTGGTTATGACTTTCGAAATAAAAAATTAATATTCAATAAATTGTCAAATCTATAGAATATTCCCAAACTTGAGAATAAAACGATTGATAACGTGTTCAGAATTAGATCGAGATGTACAGCATGGTCTTCAAGAAGAGAAAACAATTGGTATTGATCGTGAACCAACATCAATTGCTGATACAAATCCATATTCAACTAAAAAGGATAGTGAAACAATTGAAATAAGTGATGCGAGTGAAAGTGAAAATGAAGGTGAATCATCTGAAATGAATAATATAAATGACGGTTGAGATGAGTGTTTCTTAATTGGTGAAATTGAATTTTTGAAACATCCTTACTTAAAAAAAAAAAATTTTCCATTGATTTTTAGCTTCTCTAGTTGAATATCTAATTGATTATCCATCACTGTTGTTGAATTATTGTTGTATTACTAATGTATTAAATGTTCGTGTATTTTGGACATCACATAGTAAAAATTTTAACATCGTTACAATGACTATCAACTTAAAATATGCTTCACCTGTACAATACATATGGAAAAAAACTGAGCAAGAGATTAAAGAATTTTTAGATGTAGCTACCAGAGAGCGAAAACGAACCTATCCGAACCGAACCCGAGCCAGTAAAAGTCGGTTCGATTCGCTCTCTGGTAGCTACACATGATGAACAACAAAAATTTAATGAAATATTGATATTGTTATCAAATAATCTGTTGTATTGTTTGTGAATACATGTTCACTGTGTCAATATATTTTTTATCTTTTATTTGTCTACTAGTCCACATATGATATCAAATATTAAAATTGGTATCAATGGATTTGGTCGTATTGGTCGGCTTGTATTTCGATGTGCACTTGCACAAGGTACTCAAGTAATTGCTATTAATGGTTAGTATTAGATTTCTTTATTTATATGTCTTGCAATTATATCTTTCTAGATCCAAGTTCATCGATTTTTATTCCTTCTGCTGAACATATGGTTAATATGTTGAAACATGATTCAACACATGAACATTTCAAAGGTGAAGTTTCACATAAAGATAAGAAATTTATTGTTGCAGGTCAAAAAATCAGCACCCTCATTGAGTAAATATTTTAAATCAATTAATTTTAATATCTGATTATATTCTATTTTTAGACAACAACCATCAAACATTCCATGGGATGAACTCGGTATGTTTTGTCTTTTGACCTTGACAAATCAATAATTGATTGATATGCTTGTTTTTCTTAAGGTGTTGAATATGTTGTTGAAACAATCGGCGTATATACAACAATTGATAAATGTCAATCATATTTACAAGCTGGTGCTAAAAAAGTTATAATTGCAGAACCATCAACTGATACTCCAATGTTTGTTATGGGTGTTAATGAAGATAAATATACAGGAAAAGAAACAGTTCTTTCAATTACATCATGTACAACAAATTGTTGAGCACCACTTGCTAAAGTTGTTTATGAAAAATTTGGTATTATTGAAGCTTTAATGGCAACCGTACATTCGTACACTCGTATACAAAAAACTGTTGATCAACCATCAAATTAACTATTGAATAAAACAAGAAAAAAAAGACTTTTATTTATATTTTATTTCTATAGGATTTGCGACGACGTGAAGGGTGTGGGTGTGGGTGGGGGTGGGGGTGTTGGATGTATATGAAGAGATGATCCACACCCACACCCCACCCAGTCACACCCCACACCCACACCCACACCCACACCTACACCCACACCAGTCTTTCCTCCACTAAAATCAAAAAAAAAATCTTTTCTTTTTTGTTTTTTCTTTTAATAATGATAATAAATTCTTTTACCTTGTTGGACCAATTGTTCTGAAACTAAAATATATTGTTGTTTGATTAATACTTCTTTAATAATTCGATTTAAATTTTTATATGATGCTTCTGGACAATGAATATTTGGAAATAAATCATTTAATAATGTAGGAAATAAATTAACGTCATCATAAATAAATTTTGGTATATTCATATCACGTAATGCTCTTAAAAAAAACAATTTCTTCAGCATCTTCTTTCATTGATGTTCGTTTTAAATAACCTGTCATTGATAAAACAGATTTAAAACTTCTTAGATCCCAATCATAATGATACTAAAATATCAAAAGAANAATCTAAATTTCATCTAGTCGGCAGATCACTTTCATGGGTTCTTTTGCATGTTTTTCAAATATGATTAGTTTTAAAAGGATTTCGTCTTATACATTATCAGAGAAAAAGACGTCCCAACTCCTCCTCTTTCGATTGACGAAAACCGCAGATCGCTAGCTATTGCGGTTGTCGAGTTATTGAGCTTACACCCACCCCTATTTAATTCTGGCGCCGACAATAGTAATATAATATTCTATCCACTAAAATGCATTATCAAGCTACGATCAGAGTTGAATCCTCATCAGACGCATCAAATATGACATCATTTTTTTCTAAAGTATCAGCAATCTTATTCCGCGAGGATGTCGTGGGATACTGATACACTGAACTACACACATTCTCACATCATCTCGTCTGTTTTGAGTGCTGTGAAATCTTCAAACATCCATCCACACATTGTTAGCGCATTTCGTCTGGAAAAGGTACCCTTCGACCTAGAGATACCCATTTGTGCACATTCTTAGAACATTCAACTTGAAGTAGATGTCGTAGAACCTTGGCACACTGATCTATACATATTCGTAGGATGTCATGTATGAAGAGAGTACCGGAGAACCGTGTGACACCCATCTTTCCACGTTCTTAGGATATCCTGATCTTATCTGAGTGCCGGTGAATACTGATACACCGATACGCAGATATATTCAGAGTATCTTCTCTGGATAGGCTATCGAGGAATATTTAAACACCCATGTTCTCACAATCTTAGAGCATCGAACCTTGAATTAGTAGTGCAAACAATAGACTCATCCATCTATGAAAACTTTGAGCCCAACTTGTCTGTTATGGGTTCTGTGGAATCTACGGACAGATTTGTCCATACTCAAAAGACAATTCATCCGGTCAGGATGCCTTGGACAACTGCGACGCAGATCTGTGCATACTCTTAAGATATATTATCCGAAGAAGATTGCGAGAAGCCCCGAGAGACCAACCTGCGCACATACTTAGGTCATCCTGACCTGATTCGGGTGGCGTGGTATACTGACACATTGATCTTCACACATTCTTAACGTATCTCGCTCGGGCTGGCTGCCATGGAATTCTGAGGCACTTTCTTTCGCAAGTCAATTTCGGAAACGTATGTGGTGTTGACGTCGCATATTGTTTACTCTCCGATCTGCATTCATTGTTCAGACATCTTGTTTAGTGTGGACGTCATGGAATTGCACAATCTTGCTGCATCTTGCCTCAGACTGATGCCATCAAACTCCGGCATATCGAACTGCACAGATTCTCAGGACTTTCTGTCTGTTGTGGATGTTCCAAAATCCTAAGACACTTCGGTGGTGAGATTCTGGTAATATCTCACGTGATGTTGCAGCCAAGAAACCATGACACATTTATCTTCACACGTTGTTAGAGCGTGTCTCCAGAAGACAATATCACGCAAATAATTACTCCCATCAAATCGTATATCTCCATTATCTCTGATATTTCCATTTCACCCCATGCTTGAATTCCCTCTTTTATATCGAGTCCTTATATTACCTCATTGACGTTATCACCATTATATCACCAATAGCTACATGAACTTCATTAGGTTCATTACATTTGGTATGCTGTGTACTGGAAACTTTAGCAATGTGGTTGTAATTCATAAAACCATTGTCGCGTGCAAAAGAAAAAATATCTAGGTATTATGATATCTCGAAATAGCTAGTCTATTATAATAACCAAATGTTGCAGGTCATGTTCTCTTTATGTCGGTACTACTAGCTTCAATCGAATAGAGAAATGTTTTGGTTGCACTAAGTGATGATTTCAAATAAGATTGTATTAGAATTATTAATTCTTCTAAATAAACCATATCTATATTGAAGGAAATCAAGTAGAACATAGCATAGATTTTTACTCAATCTTACTTGTTGTGAGCTGCTCAATGAAAAGCTTTGACAGAGCTCTTCCTTTGTTCATAGGTTAAGTGTATATGGAATGTTACATACTAAAATGGAAGTTGCTACTATTAGAAATTCTAAGGATAATAGGTGTTTTACATTGTATGTCTTCGTGGAACTGAAAAAGGAAATTTTTTTCGAAACAACTATTATCGATTTCAAAATAAAAAAGAAAGGTGAAGAGTTTTGGAATAACTTTTGACAGGAACAAGATAAAGATTTGTGGTTTTCACCGTTTAAAAGATAAGATGAAACTACATCGAATCGTTTAGACCAGATTTTTCTAACAAGTTTTCTCAGGGTCTGCCATGAAGCTTATTAAAGATAAAATATTGTGTAATGTGAAAATTTTAGGATTTTAATCTTCAGAAGTGCATTAGAATCATTAACTAAAGTATTTATAAATTATGTAAGTTCGATGTTGTAAGGTTTAGTCAATCGTGAGTTATAAAAGTTTTACTACGTGTAATCGGTAGATTCTTCATAAAAATTGACTTTTTTTCTGAGTTTTTGACAAAAAATCTACCTGAAACAAGCATTAAATGTCTCGATTTAAAAAAATAAACTTGGTGGAAGATCCTAAGAAAGGTTGTCAAAAACATCTGGTCTATACGATTCGATGCAGCTTCATCCTCTCTTTTAAACGGTGAAAACCACAGATCTCTATTTTGTTCCTATCAAAAAATATTTCACAAATATTGACCCTTGTTTTATTTTGGAATGGAAAATAGTTTCAATTTCTTGTCTTTGTTAATTGTTCTTTGATAACGATACATAAAAGAATTATACTCTTATCTACCATATTCTATTACCATCTTGCTTTTTCGTATCACTATCAAAGAAATGACTAAGAAAGGAAATAAGAAACTAGTCTAATTTGTTTGTTCTTATTTTTACTCAAATATAAATTTAACCTTTTTATCAAGACAAGATTTTAATCTACTTTTAACAACGTCATTTAGTTGAAATTGATTTACTCTAAAAATATTCTTTTTATTCATGGAAAGAAGTTTCTGTCGATTGAAAAAAATCAGTTTTCTCTGTTTAAATAGAAGCGAAAATCGCACAAGGGATATTTTCCGAATTCCAAATTCAATGCAGTCTAATCTTCCTCCTATTTGCGTATCTCATGTTAGCAGTCACTGATTTCAATCGTATTTTCAGCAAAACACTTTTTTGAATAAAATGCACTGGATTAAATATATTTTTTTGGAATTTAAAATAAATATTATGCAATATACTATATTTCGTATAATCATATATGGTTTTCCAAATGAAGTTTGTGATGAATTTTAATGGCATATACATAGTAAAAAGATGAAAGGCCTAAACCTGAACAGTTTATAAAATCTGATAATGTATATTTGCTTGAATAAATGTTATTATGAAGATTCATTTCAAACTGGGAATAAATAGTTCATAACTTGCAAAACGTGGTCCACGTTTCTTTTTCTCATTATTTTCCAACCAAAATTGAATTTTTAAATTATTTGTTTCTTCTTCTTCTTCTAATTCACTAGTCGAATGAGATAATGATGATGATTCTTTTTGACATCGATGTACTACTGGCAGTGTGGTTTTTCGATCTAACCATTCAGAAATCCAACCCAAACCAATTAATAATAGAAGGAAATGTATGATTGGCCAAAAAAAACGTTCAAGAAAACCAGTTTGAATAATACTATGAGTGAGAGTCGAATCCATTGTTGTACACTGTTCAAAATAGCACCAATTTCGATTTGGAAGCAATTTTTTAAGAAATAATCTTGCTCCATTTTCTGGTGCTCGTGTAAAAAAGTCAAGAAATCTTTCTTCAGTATCAGCGATTGGATACCATGTAGCAGTAAAAAAATGAGCAACACGAATAACTATTGTTGGTGGTGGTCTATTAACAATAGCAGATGAAATTATTTGATACATTAATTTTGAATCATTAATATCTGATAGATCATTTTTTTCTCGAGTTTTAAATCGACCGACACCACAACAATGAACATCACCACTGAAAAATGTTATTCTTATTCTTTTCTTTTGAGCAATTTCTTGAAAACGAGAAAGGACACGATTTCGTTCATCAATATGTAATTCATGTGTCCATTCATCGACGAGATCATCATAGATTTCAGGCAAACCAAAAACTGAATTTGTGTGTTCACTAAACGGAATATTTCGCCATCTCATAGATATTTTTTTCCATGCTTCAAGAATAGATTCGGCCATTTTAAAACGTGCAAAGGTAAATGGAACAGCAAATAGAACAATCAAATGCTTGACATTTTCTAGATCACTATCCAATTTTTCGAAGATTAAATCCCATGTTTTCTCATGTTGTACTGTTTTATCATCGCGTTCAGTACGACCATCGGCACCTAACAGTGCTAAATTGGGGCCACATTGAGCAAGAAAATTATGACCTTGATAGCCAAATAATCGATGTTTTCGTGCTTTCTCTGGTGTAGTATGATGTTGAAAAAGAAGTCGCATTTTTTGAGCTATTTCCAATAATCCTAACATAATTGGGCAATTGAGAATTATTGAAGGATATGATCCAGCACCGTCATAAATGTCATGATCATCCCACATCATTACACTTGGAATTGATTCTAATGCTTTTTTCATTTCCGGTCGACGTCCCCAATGTTCAGCATAATTATTGAAATAATATTGTTCAACTTCGTGTTTTGATTCATCTGGAAATTGATGTGTCCATTTTTTATCCCATTCTAATTTTGACCAATCTTGAAGGAATGGAACATCGTCAATAACAAAATCATTGTAATTTTGATCACCACCCCAAACTAAAAGATGAAATGGATTTTGTTCATGACAAGAAAGAAGATGATTCCAAACAGTATCGTAAGTGAGCCCTAATGCAATTTCTTTCGAAACAGTAGCATCAAAACCATTACAGGAAAAAAATGCACCACGCCATTTTTGATCATATTGAGCAATATGAAATTGACCATTTGTTGAATAATCACCCCAATTAATTATCCAATTAATTTTTTCATCAGCATTTCCTTTAGGTAATTCAATATTGAGATTTATTCGATAAGCTCGCATATCGAATAAATCCTCATATAGAATTTCCAAATCGTAATCAACTTTGACCTTTGCAGTAAATTCAATTGTTGGTTGCTCGTATGAAACATGTCGAAATATTAAAACACTTCCAATCCATAGCATGTTTTCTAAATCTGTTGTGATAAACTGAAAGTATGGTCCCATTGCTGATTCAGGTGGTCTTGGTGGACGCTGTACTACATGTTCCGTGATAGATGGAAGTAGATTATTATTTTCACTACTCATATTATCGTTGTCACATTCATTTAAATTTTCTTTTCCGATTCTTTGTGTCATTTTGAACAATATAACTCCCGTATGTTCTAAGTTCTGTTACCTTCAACGGAATAAAAAAAAATAGTATTGTTTCAAATGTTCTATGATTGTTTTTGTATATGATCGCCAATCCCAGCAATCTGCAAATTTCTGTATGTTCACTATGATGTTTAGACAAGATCTTAGTAGGAAATTCTGGAGAACCTCAGCACTTTGTAGTTCCTCTGATCCTATAAGGGGCTTACTTCAATATTCTGAATACTTTGAATTTTTTTAAAGAATCCTTAACATTTCTAGCAAGAACTGTGTCTCTTCAGCCTCTGGTTATGTCATATAAATAGTCGTATACGACACTACAATGAACTGAAACAGGAGCTATCAGTAAACTCGTAATTGTTTATCATAACACATATGAGCATATCTTATCCTATACTCTCTTATACTTATATCCTTCTATGCACTACTATTATGACTATACTGTTATGGTTATGCCTCGGATCAATTCAATATTACTACATTCTTACATCTATTATCTTATGATAAGACTTGTGTACCTAGTAAACGAAAGGTTTTACCGTTTTATCATTATTCTTAATCATATACAGATTTACTTATATCCTTATATTTAAAACACTAGACATATACCTTATAGCTAAACACTCATAACTATATATGTTTGACTGAACCCTTGAATCAATACTCATATGCCTAAACGCTTTATCAAATTTGATCGATGCAGATTTGAACGACATATGTTAGACAAGAATATCGTATAAAACGATTTAAATTAATTCATTGTATTACATTTAATTGAATCAGTGAAAATCGCCGATGTGAACGATTATTTAAAAACAAAAATGGATGGAAAATGATGATTGTTTAATAATCGTTTGCAGTTATTGCATGCAACAGCTTACAATATTATTCAAGTGTCACTTACAATCATCGCAGTCTTATGCTAGTTGCTTACGATGTCAAAAATACACCTTAGAACTTCGCTTATAATGAGTCTCAACAGTCATTCTAAATAACTACCACTTTCTGTTCCAACTTGTCAGTATACGATCGTATGTGAGTAGCCTTTGTGACTGAATTTATTCATTTATTAGTACCTACTGTCTATTTAGGAAATGTAATGTGCTCAACTGTTTTCTGAATAACTCGAGAACGCAAACACCTAGAGACCTGCGGTTTGCACCGATTGAAAGAGGAGACATTGGAACATCTTTTGTCTACAATATTTTGTAAGATGAAATCGCTTTAAAATCAGCATTTCTAGAAAACATTTTTAAAAAATGCATGAAAACGATCTGACACTCTGAAATATTGGTTTAGACATGTGATCTAGAGAGACAACCTTCAGATATATAGTTCAAGGTATAATTCGAATGATCATCTTCTCACATCGTAATGTTGAGCAAATAAAATTGTTTATTTACTCGCATGAAAACTATGAATTGCTTTTAAGTTTTAAGCAAGACTGTTTTTTAAACATCTTTTGCAATAGTTTGCAGAAATTCTGATTTTAAAGTGATTTCGTCTTACACAGTATTAAAGAAAAAGACGTCCCTATGTCTCCTCTTTCTATTGGTGAAAACTACAGATCTCTAACTGTTTGCGTTCTTGAGCTAGTCAAAACAAAATAGAACACATTATATTTTTAAATGGTCGGTAGTTGTTCGTGACAAACCTTGTATGATATTCTTTGAGAATCACGACAAATTTTTTCAAATATGTCATCATATGAATAGGAGTCATTAAGAGAAGCATTTTTTAACATTTTTTCTTAAGAAAAAATCAATTTAAGATTATAATCTTAAAGACACCGTGCATTTTGTTTTGAACGATTACATTTATTTTTTTCAAACACTGTACAAAACAAGGTACTTTTTATTGAATAACATATTGAAAGCACATGACTGCTTTCTTATGAATTAAGAGAGAAGAGCTAATCATTTTTTCTTTCTGTCACTGTTTGCGTGAGAAACATATTTTTTTCTGTTTTTATCTTACAAATCAAAAAGCCATTCGAGCTGCAAATAACTTGTTCCTTATATGATCCATTAAAAATGAGTCTACGAAAATTAGTCGAGAAGTTTACAATAAAATAATAAAAGCTTTTTAACAAAAGTTTTCAGTAGTATGAAAAAAAAAGAATACTAGTACAGGAGTAATCTCTAGTTCTTCTGATTTTTATGGCAGAATCATATAAAAATAAAACAGATACCAACTATTTTCCAGAACTTCGCCCCTTAATCAGTAGAAAAACTACAAATAAAGGATGGTTGTTGGTGTGGGGTCTTTTGGGCCCTCTGCATACTTATGTCCACACCCACACCCTAATTTTCGTTCGCCTATTTTTCGCTTTTCCATTAAAAACAATGCATGCTTACAGCATGCATCATCAAATTCAAAGTTTCGATAATGAAAAGGAATAGTAAAATACCTTTTTCAATATCAAAAAAAAATTTTCAAGTATTATTGATGTCAAGATCGGCAAAACTGGATTATTTAGCTCACCCTCAAGCACGTAAGAGTGGTTACCGTTTGTTTCAATCAACGAGGATATTTTTAGGCTTCTACAAGAAACAAGAGGAGAGAATGAAACGATACATTGAAATGGATGTTGCTATGGTTGTAATATTGAATTTTTTCACATTTATCATTGCTTCAATACAACAGCAATCGATTGTGAGTTTTAAACAATTACTGATAAAGGTTCAAAGTTAATGTGTACAGAAGAATTTACAAATAAAAATCTCCAGTGGACTTCTTTAGTTAGTTTTGCTGTTATCGATTATATTAATTGGTATCATATGAGTCGACTACGAGCTTCTGACCGATTATTAATTCAATAAAAGTTACATATTTAGATAAAGCAGCATAAGCAAAATGTTAAGTCAGAGTATAGACGATGGATATAGTTTATAATCAAGCAAAATTTTTCAAAAATATGTTTACCAATAAGAGCTGCTGTTGCCTTTCGTTTTTTATCGGGTAAATGATTCTTTTTTTTGCCTTTACGTTACATGCGACAACGTATATACCAGTAGAAGAAAAAACAGACAAGAAAAAAACACACAGCTAATTACGATGAAATGATTATTCACTCAACCATGATAAAAGTAAGCTAGCTATTGTATTGCTTAATGCCACGGTCCATTGATTTTTATGACAAGATATGCTTATGCATCAGACACATGTTCATACATTTTTTTTTGTTATGCCCATCGTTTTCTTGAAGATACATTGTATCATTCAGTTACAAAATTTCATGGTAAACTTTTATTTGTTAAGATATCAATACTATGAATGCTTTCTTAATTTTTGTGTCAGTTGATGATAGAAAAACATGAGTTAGTGTTATATTCTTAGATGTAAAATTCGATCTTTTCTGATGTAGAAAGTAGCGACCGAAAGTCAATTGAAGATTCAAAATAAATCCGTTTGTCTGACAACGTCTTCATAGATTTTGTGGTTGTTGGTGTGTAAACTCGATTTATTTGTATAACATTTCATACGATAAAGAAAAATCAAGACAATAGGAAAAAGAGACAGAAATATGAAACTAACAAGTCAGATAGCAAACTAGTGAACAACAATATAAGAGAACAAATGAAGCGTAGACACACATAAATAGAAACGATATTTATGTTTTCCTATACATAATACATACTATTCTTCAGTTGCTAATGAATTTTATTGAGCTTGAATTGTTTCATGTAGAAACTTTTCAGCATATGTAAATTTACTAATCATTAGAAGGCATCACTTATATCCCAATGTTATATTCAGATCATTTAAATGACTTAATTTAATTATTACACAAGAAAAATATTTCATAATTAAATGCCTTTTCATAATGCTTCTAAATGATGAATACTTTTATAATATTCAGCTTTTAAACAATGATACAAAGTTATTTGTTGAGAAAGACTGGTTTTAATTTCGTCTATGCCAATTAAATTTAATTGATTTTGAAAATAATTTAGTCGCAATTCAAATATTGTAAATAAATCGATTATCTTTTGTTAATGTTTATTTATTACTGTAAATAGGTAAGAAAATTTTTTTCCTTCCAATAGCTCGTCCTTCATTTATAATAAACACACACATTGATATTTCATGATGACCTTCAACTACCAGAATAAATCAGAACATTGAAAATTTTCGATAATACAAGCAAACGAACAGAAGAAAAAAATGCATTTTTGAACGCATAAATGAATCATTGTCAAGGCTTTTTAGCATCTTCTCAATATTTGATTTTAAGGTTAGATCATTAATATTCGTATAAATATCTTTTACTATTTTAACAAACTTTTCCTGATCAATGATCAATAATCAAAAACTAAAAAGAAGATTATCGAATGCTTGTTCAAGTATTTCAGATATAATAATAAATTGATTTTTTTTTCTAACCATTGCTCGCCGTCATTTTTCATTGTCAATTATTTGTTGATTTCTTTCCGAATTATTGGTACTACTTAGACTTGAAACCAGTAGAATTTTTTCAACGGAATTGGACCGATCACTTGAAACTCTTCACTTAACTTGCGAAAACCTGTCCGGTATAATTACAGAATTCTAACAATGAAAGACTCTATGCTAGTATGGTTCTTCTCTTCATCCACATCTGGACAATTTTTAATAGAAGAGATCTCATCCCAGTCGAGATAATGCGTTATTAAGTTTTTTTTTGTTATCATCAACTGTATCTCTTAGACTTCGAACACATGCTTTTATACGAGAACAGGAGAGAGCAGAGATAACATGAAGAGGAACCATGTGAGAGGGATAATATAAGGACATCATCGTTACATTCATATCGTCTTGTAAATGAAAAGCAACAATCTCAAGAACCAGTAACAACTTAGAGAAAGTGAACAAATCATAAGAAGCGTTGAATAAACTGATGTAACACTTCTTTTTGATATTTTTAAGACCTATTTTGTTTTAATATTTTGCGTCAAGGATGACATTTTTTACGAAGTAGGAATCACTAAACTTATTAAAATTGA